CTTATCACCAGGAAATGGTCAGTAAATACATCGGCACCTCTGAAAGCCCTAACATCGTAAAGGGATGATCTAAACTTTTTGTTAATACATATGTGGTCAATTTGATTAGTTGTCTTATGGTCTGGTGATTCCCATGTTGCCTTGTGTATTCTTTTATGGGTAAAATACCAAAAGTTAAAATATTGATGCAACTTTTCTTAAATGTACCGAAACATTGGGCTGAATATCAAAAGTACAGTTTTGTTTGGCAAAAGTTAGAGAACAAAATTTATACAAAAGTACCAGTTTCGGCAGCCCTGGCTGAAATATCTTATGGTGAAACAACTTTTCACTTCAACAATTGAATGGCACACTTTTCCAGAGATCATATTTTGTGAGGTCTTTACAAAATACCGGATGGTTTTGAGTGGGACGAAAAGAGGAGAAATGTTTCGCATTGTTATTGGGAATTTTTTGAAAAAGCAGTGAGCAATGGCACGGTTAGAAAACTGCTGGATAATGTATTGTGTGCATATTCCCCATCATCATCATCATGTAGCAGGTTCTTTGCAGAACGTCGCTCTCATCACAGTCTGCCTGAAAGAAACTCGGTCTCTCGCCATTCTCCCATCTCATGCACTTTCACACTCACGGAGTCACTTATATCCTGTGCCCATCTTCGTGTCGGTCGGCCCCTGACCCTCCTTCCTGGTACCATGCCTTCTGCTATAATTTTTTTCCAATCCGTCGTGGCGCTTGATATGACCAAAATATTTCAGCTTTCAAGAAAGGTTGCTGTTTATTAGCCAATCTTGCTTGATGTTTAGATCTTTTAAGATGTCAGTATTTCTCTTCTTTTTTTGTCCAAGATATTCTGAGAATCTTTCTATAGCATTTCAGCTCAAAAGCCCCTATTTTCTTTCTTAAGGACTGAGAGATAGTCCACGATTCACATCCGTACGTAGCCACAGGGAAGATGCATGCTCTCAATCTTCTAAGTTTTATCTCCATGCTGGTGCTTAACCATAGACTTTTAAGGCTGTTCAATCTTTGGCTTCCATGATGAGTTTCTTGGGATAGTAATGTGGTAGTTTCCCGTATATCCCCCATCAGGTATGTGAATTATCACATTGTCTCCCCTTTGCTGATCACCCATCAGGTTTGCCAGTTATCATTTTGTCTTTCCCATGGCCATCTCACATCAGGTTTGCCAGTTGTCACTTTGTTTTTCCCTTGATCATCAACATAGGATTTGCCTGTTATCACTTTATCTTCTCCTGGCTGACCTCCCATCAAGTTTTCCTATTATCACTTTGATTTCCCCTGGCTCATCTCCCATCAGGTTTGCCAGTTATCACTTTGTCCTCCGTTGTTCATCTCTTATTAGTTTTGCCAAATTGTTTTGTGTCGAATAAGTATCTAATTGGAAATGTACATATATATATGTTCTGATAATTCATGTGTAAAAGGGTTGTTAGTGCATGAGTTAACACTCAGGCATGAGACTTCAACTATCTAGACCTAGTGAACGTAGGTGAAGCGAGAGTCCCAGCTTTACAATACAAATATCATTTGGTCTTCCCTTGCTTATCTCCCACCAGGTTTGCCAGTTACCACTTTATCTTCCCCTTGCTTATCTTCCATCAGGTTTGCCAGTTACCACTTTATCTTCCCCTTGCTTATCTTCCACCAGGTTTGCCAGTTACCACTTTATTTTCCCCTTGCTTATCTCCCATCAGGTTTGCCAGTTACGACTTTACCTTCCCCTTGCTTATCTTCCATCAGGTTTGCCAGTTACCACTTTATTTTCCCCTTGCTTATCTCCCATCAGGTTTGCCAGTTACCACTTTATCTTCCCCTTGCTTATCTTCCATCAGGTTTGCCAGTTACCACTTTATCTTCCCCTTGCTTATCTTCCACCAGGTTTGCCAGTTACCACTTTATTTTCCCCTTGCTTATCTTCCATCAGGTTTGCCAGTTACTACTTTATTTTCCCCTTTATCTCCCATCAGGTTTGACAGTAACCACTTTATCTTCCCCTTGCTTATCTTCCATCAGGTTTGCCAGTAACCACTTTATCTTCCCCTTGCTAATCTCCCATCAGGTTTGACAGTTACCACTGTATCTTCCCCTTGCTTATTTAAAATCAGGTTTGCCAGTTACCACTTTATCTTCCCCTTGCTCCCATCAGGTTTGCCAGTTATCACTTTATCTTCCCCTTGCTTATCTCTCATCAGGTTTGCCAGTTTCTACTTTATCGTCCCCTTGCTTATCTTCCATCAGGTTTGCCAGTTACCACATTATCTTCCCCTTGCTTCCATCAGGTTTGCCAGTTACCACATTATCTTTCCCTTGCATCCATTTATTTTGCCAGTTACCACTTTATCTTCTCCTTACTTATCTACCATCAGGCTTGCCAGTTACCAGTTAATCTTCCTCTTGCTTATCTACCATCAGGCTTGCCAGTTACCACTTTATCTTCCACTATCTCCCATGAGGTTTGCCAGTAATGTTCATGTGCATTTCTGCTTTTAGGTTGCCCAAATTAAGTATGCCTACCAGTTATTTCTCAGTGTTAATCAATTTACAGTTTTCATCTGCTTCTCGTGGAGCTGCCTCATTCCATTTTCTGTCCTTTGTTAATCTCTCATTCTTTGAAGCAGAATTTATGTTACTACTGTTGGCATTTTCAAATATTTAAATGTTGCTCTGTTTTCTTATACTTTCATCAGTGAAAATAATTTATATATGTCCACTGTTTGCCATTTTAATTTCTTATGTAAATTAGTTTTATAGTTTTTCCCATAACAACTTTTGAGTATGGCTGGTTTGATTAAGCGTACTTGAGGCTTGTGACATTTAATCATTATTTTGCATTTTTGGGCATTGTCTGGAAAATTATGATCAAGTATGGAATTAATAAAAACTATGTTTGAACACACAAACATCTTTGGCTGTCACATTCACCTTTATCTCCAGTCCCTATCTTTTCGAGAAATCATCAGAGAGTACTGTTTTTCTTTCTTTCTTTTTTTTTCAGGACATTAAGTTATTCTAGTATTTATGATTGTTGAGACGCATAATCACCTAGACCTGTTGGCAAGGCACTTGATGATGATACTCTTCTTCTTCTTCTTCTTCTTCTTCTTAGTGTTCATGGGCTGTAAACTGGTGGAAAGTTCTGGTTGTTTATTCACTTCTGAACTGTGATCTTGTTCTAGAACTTGAGTTTGTGTGCACATCCTTTTGACAGATGTTACTTATGTGTATGCAGACTGTTGATTCCTTGCCTGTCAGTCAGATGCACTCTAGCTTCCATGAAAACATCCATACTTGGTTGACGTTTACAATAGGCAGTGGGTATGTTCTTAGTTTTCCCCAAAATGAGGCCCCAAACCTCACACAGGGAGATGATGATGATAATGATGGCTATTTCTAACATTTGCACCTGAAACAGCATCCCTCTTGCCTGCATCAAGTAAAGTAAGTCAAGGACACTTATGGCACATCGGGTTTATGATCTTCTTCTTTACGTCCTCTTTTACCACTTCAGATGTTCAGGGAGATATAAGGTCCTGCTTTGTGCTCTTCTGGCTGCTTCGACCATAGACACATCTTGATGCTGTATGTAGAGTTTCTTTGATGTTATCTTTCCATATGGTTCTTGGTCTGCCTCTTGCTCTTCTTCTTTCTCCTCTTTTGGCATATGCCATGTGTGATAGCATCAGAAGGCATTCTCTCCAAGTGGACAAACCGTTTGACTTGCTATCTTTGAATGTAATTCAGAATTGGTTCTGTGCCGACTATCACTTTATCTGTTATGACCTCATTCCTGATTTTATATCTCTTCTGGTCACTTCTACATCTTTCTCCGACACCTCATTTCTATGGTTATAATTTGCTTTTATGTTTTATTGTGCGTGACCATGTCTGTCACTGATAGCATAGGGTGGGAATAAGTATATGATGCTAGATTTATATTTGTGCATATAGCTGTCTATGGCTTAGGCGTTGCAAACCTGCTTCATAATGCTGGGGTGCCGGGTTCGATCCCAGCTGCAGGCAATTTGGCAGCTTTCATTCATTGCATTTCGAGCGTGGTATCAAGAGCCGACTGTTTGGGAGGATTGGTAAACTACTGAATGTAAAATGGGCCTAGAAAAGCCACAACAAGCGAAAAGTGCTGGGGTTGGCTCTGTAATGTCCTGTATAGGGGGCGCAACTAACTTTAGTCTTTCTACTACGATATGACCATGTGTGCTAGCGGAACATGAATTATACATAGATTAAGGTAGATTCGTGGAAAGAAAGTGCCAAGGATTGAGTTGTGTTGTGTGGAGTGGACTAATCAGAGAGGGAATGAGAACAAAGGAAACAAATGATTGCAGATAGATTAGGAGCTGAGCATTTGAGAAGAAGCGCACTTAATACTTGTGATAGCAACAACGGTCCTGAGATCCCATGCTCTAATTCTGGTAGAACACTGGTGGGTCTTGCTAGTCACACTCGACATTCCCATGGGCTGATTGATTCCCGTGCATCTTCATAGTGCATTATAATACTATATTCTGGAATGACCGAAAGGAAGTTTCCAGGAGTGCCGCAACCAGTTTTGAAATAGATAATGCGATAGTATCTGAACTGATATACAAAAGTAGCAGATATCATCAAGGCAAAACAGTGTCGACCAGCACATTCATATTTTTTCGACACTACATTACGGTTACCAGATTTTCAAGACCGTTTTTGTTATGTCATTTGACACTTTGATGTATGTGGATGTTGTTCTCCAAGTCCTTGTTAATATTGCTTGAGATTCTTTTTTTTGTGTCCTTTTTTTAAAAAAAACACATTAAAAAAAAAGTTAGGTGGGGGAAAAGGGGGGGGGGGGGGGGTGTCTTGCCATATATTTAAGGGGCCCCACCTAGTAACCACTGACTGGAATAACACATAGTGATGATGATGATGATCCAGTAATCTATGATGTATATAAACTTGTGTTTACTTGTTTACTTACACAGAGGAAGTACCTAGAGAGATACTGGCAAGGGGTCCAGAAGCAGTAGAGGTTTATGAGCAGACATGCATTACTGGCACACAACCTGTATATCGCACACGACTGATGTTGGTTGGCCAGGAGCATGTTGGGAAGACAAGCTTAAAGAAAGCTCTGACAGGCCAATGGTAAGCACCTTATCTTTTGAAGCCAGCGACTTGTACATAAGTTCTACTGCCCAAGCCATGCCCGCATTATTTAACTCTTTGAGTTCTAATCCTCTTTTTACTTCGTCTTCTTTATCAAGGAGTTGAGCACAGATGCATTAATATTTAGGAGTTCAGCTAACATGCAGTGTGACAGAAGGGATTAACCTACTAATTCTTCTTCTGCACGTTCACCAGCTACAAACTCCAGCAGACAAGTCCTAGTTGTTCATCCACTTCTTGAGTTTGATCTTATCCTAGAACTTTAGTTTTGCGTGCACATCCATTTTATAAATCTGACTTACTCGGATGCAGTCTGTTGGTTCCTTCACCTCTCAGACAGAGATACTCCAATCTTGAAGGAAACACCTCTAATTAGTCAACTTTTACAAGATGGTTGCAAAGGAGTCATGAACCCATGAGAATTTCTGTAAAAATCCTTTAAAATAACAACCATAAGTATCACCCAGGTAACTAATAAATTGTAGAAAAATTTATTTATCTACATTTTTAAAATTCAGAATATCTAAAGATATATAAAGGGATTATCAGTAAACTTGCACCTAGATAAATGTTAAATGGAACACACTCCCCAGGGGATAACAGAACAAGGTAACTCATGCCATGACCCTGTGACCTCTATCATTGAGGCTTACGGTGAAATTTTAGATTAGAATAGCTTTCAAAAATGCCATTGCAGTCAAAAGGAAACCCTCCTAAACGCTGTTACAATATTCATAACCTGGCCTTTTTAAACTCCAAACAGGAGCACAAGGGACCTGTGGAATTGAACTACTTTTTTCAAGAGCAGGTCACTGCAAACATGGCCATTCATGGGAATTTACGGGGATGTGGCACGGCTGGAAGTGACCAGATGTAGGCTTTTTGGGCAAAAAGGTTCAATGCTGGTAATCGCGGCCTCAGATACTCCAACTATCTATTGCTTGCATGGGTGGCCTTTAGCCCTGCTTCCACTGTGTCTAAGTGATAGGGCTCTCTGTGAGCACTGTCCGGGGACATTTTTGGCACATGTCTGAACCATTGGATCTACTGGCTCTTGATGTAGTTTAACCCTGGTTCCATCCCCACTTGTCTCCGGAAATCGTCATGTCTGATCACATCTCTTCTTTTCTTGTTACCTTTATCAGAGACATTCCATGTCTGATCCCATCTCTTCTCTTCTTGTTACCTTTATCAGAGACATTCCATGTCTGATCCCATCTCTTCTCTTCTTGTTACCTTTATCAGAGACATTCCGTGCCTGATCCCATCTCTTTTCTTCTTGTTACCTTAATCAGAGACATTCCATGTCTGATCCCATCTCTCTTTTCTCTTCTTGTTACCTTTATCAGAGACATTCCATGTTTGATCCCATCTCTTCTCTTCTTATTACCTTTATGAGAGACATTCCATGTCTGATCCCATCTCTTCTCTTCTTGTTACCTTTATCAGAGACATTCCATGTCTGATCCCATCTCTTCTCTTCTTGTTACATTTATCAAAGACATTCCATGTCTGATCCCATCTCTTCTCTTCTCTTCTTGTTACCCTTATCAGAGTCATTCCAAGTCTGATCCCATCTCTTTTCTTCTTTTTACCTTTATCAGAGACATTCCGTGGCTGATCCAATCTCCTCTTCTTGTTACCTTTATCAGACATTCCATGTCTGATCCCATCTCTCCACTTCTTGTTACCTTTATAAGAGACATTCCATGTTTGATCCCATCTCTTCTCTTCTTGTTACCTTTATCAGAGACATTCCATGTCTGATCTCTTCTCTTCTCTTCTCTTCTCTTCTCTTCTCTTCTCTTCTCTTCTCTTCTCTTCTCTTCTCTTCTCTTCTCTTCTCTTCTCTTCTCTTCTCTTCTCTTCTCTTCTCTTCTCTTCTCTTCTCTTCTCTTCTCTTCTCTTCTCTTCTCTTCTCTTCTCTTCTCTTCTCTTCTCTTCTCTTCTCTTCTCTTCTCTTCTCTTCTCTTCTCTTCTCTTCTTGTTACCTTTATCAGAGACATTCGGTGCCTGAACCCATCTCTTCTCTTCTTGTTACCTTTATCAGAGACATTCCATTTCTGATCCCATCTCTTCTTTTCTTGTTACCTTTATCAAAGACATTCTATTTCTGTTTGCCTCCGTTGCAAAATAAACTGATTATTATATTATACAGATGTAACAGAAATCAGTATCTGTTCTGCTGTTCACAGTCACAATGTCAGTGAGGAAAGCACAGATGGTATTGATCTGTCAGCATCATGTTCTTTTAGCCTCAACAACCAGTCGTCCTGGAAACTTGCAGTCAAGGGCGATGAGACTTCTAGGAGAGAGAGGCTCCATGAGCCAATGGAAATGGAGGACTTTGGTAAATAATGCATTGCTATTGTTTACCATCATCATAATTATTATCATTATCATCATCATCATGATGAAAAAGAGGAGTGGGGCGGGGGATCATTAAGGTGTTTAAACAGTGGGGCTAGCTGGTAGGTGACAGCATTTGTCTACTGTACTCTGACTTGTATCTCTCTGTCGTGTTTTAAATGATTTCAAGCTATAATTTGAATTTGTCTTTTACTTTGTGCTCTGTGGATGGGTGTTGGCCATCTTGTTTCGCCACATCAGAAGATCATCAGAAAGGCAGATCAGGTCTCTGCTCTTGTCTAATGATATCTACATGGCCATGTTATTTAGGTATATATTTCCTTGCCTTCCCCTTGCTCTTTTTCCATCAAGCTTGCCAGTTGTCACTGAGTTCTGAAGTCCATTCCTTCTTTGGACATGTCCACACACAGAAATATCGACTGTCAACATCTGATTTCTCTAGTCAGGAATTTTCATCTTGCTTGAGGACTGCTTCTTTTGTTTTTTGTTTTTCTATCAAATTCTTCTTCTTCTTCTTTTATCATATACCAGGTTGTAGTCCAGTGTCATGGTTTTCTGTATGTGTATTTCACTTCTCGGGTGGTTTGGATGAATATTTGTTTATCTTTTTACAGGTCGGCTACACCTTTTATACATTTCTATCTTGGTCCTCCTCTCACTTTCTTCCCAGCTGTCTGTTGTTACAAATCTCATATGCAGTTTGGTCTGGCTGCATTTACAGTAAGATGGCTGAACCATTCATTCCTTTTCTGTCAACATAATTACCTCTTTAAGGCCCAAACAACGGTGTGAGCGTAGTTTGAGAAGTTCCGTTCTGCCCAAACAACGGTGTCATCGTTAATTGTGTATCTCTTACATTTTGGTTCGCAAGCGCGTTCGTACTAGTTTCTAATGTTTGGAGGTACGAATAACCTATTCAGGGAAAGTCACTCTGCCGAAATCCTTTTAGTTTCATTTCTTGGACTAAACCACACGTGGATAATTTGAGAGGAAAAAAAAAACATCAAATTTTTTTTAACTTTTCATTTTCCAAGTTCGTTTTTGAGTGCACTGAATACCAATGTTCTAACCACAAGAACAGGTTGCAGAATGCGTCTTTCTGCAGCTGAAGCTCTGAAATTGTTTCAGTCAGATGTGTTTAATTGTGATAATGATAATACAAATTTAGATTTTTCGGAAAGTGATTCGGACAGTGAATTTTCACCAGTGAAGCTGAGCGATTAGCTGTTCGGAATCTAGCGATTCTGACGAGTTCATTACACAGACAATGTCCCATACTACCGTATTTATGGTGTAAGAGAAGGAAAGTGCTCTAAACAAAGAGATTACTATACTATGGCTAAGCTACATTGAAATCATCGCAGCTACAGTCTGTAAATAACTGTACAAAGTGAATAGTAAATAGTGTGTGTGTTATGGCTCATTTTTCTGCCATTTTTTCTCTGATATTTTGCTTAGCACTCGGTGGGAACTAAGAGCCCCTGAGTGATAAACTAACCCAGAAAGTTATCATAACTTTAGAATATGTTAGGAAATTGAACAAACTGAGTTTTGTTCTCAAATTTGGATATTTACTATTCTTGTGGCTACAAAACCATGGTAAGTGAAGAATTTTTGTGTGAAATGTTGTCCTTGTGAAATTAACATCTGCTGAATTCTTCTTTTCCACTAACTATAACAAAATCAAACAAACACTTATCATCAGATTCAAAAAGTACATTCATTTCTCTTTAAAAAAATATATACTTTTATAGGGATTAGAAGTATATTACAATCTCTACAGCCTTTCTCGTACACCCACCCCTCTGCCATTTTTGTAAAGGGAAATTAATGTGGGCCAAGTCTGTCAAAATTCATGGGCCTGAAAGAGTTAAGTAAATTGTTTGTGAATTTGTCCGTTACTTTGAGGAATTTGAAAGGGCTGGGGATTATTCTTCTTCATGTTCACCGTCTGGAAACTCTGGCAGAAAGTTCTGGTTGTCCGTCTACTTCTGGACTTTAGTCTTGTTTCAGAACTTGAGTTTTGAATGCATATCCATTTTACAGATCTGGCATATTTGATACAGACTGTTGGTTCCACATCTCTCAGGCAGATGCACTGACTTCAAAGGAAACACTCCTTATTAGTAGTCTTTTATGACATGCTTGTTAGGGCAGCAGGTTTATTTTCTTCCCCCACAATTGTAACCGGAACTCACACAGGGAAAAGGGATTCAGATTAAAGAGAGGATTTAGCAATACCCGCTTTTACTTGTTTTCTTTTGTATGGTTTTATTATGATCCCTACTTATATTTGTGTGAATGACATCAGTATGTGTGAATGACAATCAGTATGTGTGAATGACAATCAGTATGTGTGAATTGTTTTCTAGTGCTTTTCAGTAGTCACTCAGGTATTATTATCATTTCTGAGAATGAAAGGCTATCTGACTGTAGCCACAGCAAACAGATATTTGTTTTACCTTAAATATGTCTAGCAGAGAATAATAACATTGTGGATGAGGAGGGTCTGACTGCATGGAACACACAATACTGCCCTGGCTGGATGCTATGGAGAGGAGGAACTTCATCCATGGTCTTAATTGTAATCATCGGTATGGAAGGAATTAAGAGAGCAGACACTCTGGCTAGCAGTACGACTATCAGGAATGAGCCCTCTATAGAAAGGAGAGACACCGTCAATGCCATATGAAAGACTAAATGCTGTGAAGCTTTTCAGTTTCATGGAAAATAATGTTTCACTGAATAGACTGCATACCCTGGGTGTACCAACTGGAGCATTGAGACATGAAAACCATGCGGGAGCCACCCATCGTTACATGAACCAGAACAGAATGGCAGTTATTACCCTAAAAACACTTGGAGACATACACTCAGGAGGAGATCGGAGCACTTATGTGCGATGAAGATGATCTTTAAATGAACAGTGAAAATTGTTATCGCCATGGACTGTGATTCCTATGCCCATCTTTAACTAAATGGAACACTCGTATATAGATAGCCAGAATGTTGCCAAAAACATAAATCAGATTCTGGCTTTTTGGCCTTTATTTAGAGTTTCTTCTTTTTTTTTTTCAGCACTTCATACCACAATGGAACTTAGACCCTCAACCAATGTATTCCAGGTCATGTTATCCAGGTCTTGTTTCTCCTTTTGACTTTTCCCTGGTTGGTTTTTGTGGATTTTTATATCATTTTACAGGATGAAATGGTCAACCTCAAGCCCAACCCTACCCCTTTTCACCCCTTACGGCATTCCTCGTAAGGTGCAGTGTTACTATTCTTTGCTTCTCACTGGGGAACATACCACGTTTTGAAAGTTTGGTAACATTCATTTATATATATATCTACAGATGGATTAACAGATGCTTCTATAGAAGAAGAACACAGAAGAGCTTTGGCAGCCAACATTGCTAACGAACTGCTAGTTATAAAGAGACGAGACAGAGATGCCACCACCATTATCAGGGACACACATATTAATCGAAATGTTGAAGTATGTGCTCTGTATTATTGTGCTTCTGTGTACTTTAAATCATAGTCTGGAAGCCTCAGGGCCAAGCCATGGGTAACACACCATATGTTTGTTGGTTATTCCAAAGATGGTTTACTATTCTTGCTACCCTCTGTCAGATGTAGATGTTATATTAACCCTTTGTGTCTGAATTACTAGTTCAACTATATCTGTCCCTACATTGCTTATAAGCTCATCTGCTTACAATAAAGAGAGTTAAAGTAGGCCTGGGACTGAAAGCGTTAATGATTTTCTTCTTCTTCTTTGTTCACCGGCTAAAAGCTCCGGCAGAAAGTCCTGGTTGCTTGTCTATTTGGATGGCTTTGTACCAGGGCCTGAGTTTTTGTGTGTTTATCTGTTTTACAGGTTTATTTTTGTGCAGTAGGTTGTTCCTTGTCACTCAGGCAGATGCATTTTGACTTTAAAGGAAGCTCCCCAATGACTAGTCGACTCTTACTACATGCTTTATGGAGTGGCAATGGATCTTTTCTTTTCCCAACAATGGGACCCCGGAACCCACATTGGGAAGATGAAGGGTTTAATTAGTTCAGTTAGATCAGAAAAGTCATGACACAGAGATGATATAGTTTGTAATCAGTTGTTGAGATGCTGACAATAAGCAAAGTTAAAAAGCAACAACAGGTTCTGTCACCACAGTGAAGCTTATCCGCTGTTGTCACTGGGAGTATTCTTTGGTGAAGCTGCAGGCTTGTCCACAGGTCAACTCTGGTACCACTGTCCCCCATGACATGTTCAAAAGGAGCCAAGTTAATGGAAACTGACAAGCCTTTGGATACATTAAACCAGACACATAAGTGTACTCTGTGGTGACAGGGAGCCACTGTGGTGAAGCAGCTAGACACTCGCCTCAAGCCCAAGGGTCATGAGTTCCAATCCGCATTTAGCCTGATTTTTTTTAAAGCAGACTGGCTCACAGGTTGATCAGCCTAAAATGGGTACCAGGTAAATTTCTGGGAAGTAAAGGCAGCCAGCATGGTGTTGACCACTTTACCCACCAAGTGCCAGTTGATCTATAAAATATGGGTCTAGCACTATATACTCACAAGGCGTGGGAAAAGTTTTTTGTGTGTGGTAACTGAGGTGACAAAGTAACCTGCTGTCCATTGTGGTCTGTTATTGAGCAGAAGCTAGGCTTCAAATAACGAAAAAAATTGCATCCCATGTGGGGACGACTGTCTTTTAGATGTCCATTCTATCTATCTTCTTTTACCCTAAAAGGACATCACATAAGCGATAAACACCCGATGACACAAAGTGCCACCATGTGGATGAGAAGTCCTAGAAATCACGTTCAGCCATTAGATCATGTTTATGGCTGGGCTCTTTGGCTCCCAGGTCGACCCAACCTTGAGTGGGTACCGGGTGCAGTCCCGGGAAAGTGATGGTGGCCAGCGTGATACTGACCAAATCACCTATCTTGTGCCGATTGGTCTATACAAATATAGGTCTAGCCCTATACGCCTTAAGGCGTGGAAAAGGGTCCTTTACCTTTTTTTTTTTTTTTTTATATTGCGGCCCCTGGCAAGAGCCAGAGTAGGGCTTCAAATAATGAAAAATTGCATCTCAAAGGAGATGACTGGATATAGTTGGGTAGGATGACAAGATATGACTGACTGACTTTCTATCCCACTAGGACATCACACCAGCGATAAACACCCGATGACACAAAGTGCCACCATGTGGATGAGGATCGCCGTGGAGAGGTCCCAGAAACTGCGTTCAGACAATTGGCCATATTTATGGCCTGCCTATATTGCAGCCCCTGGCAAAAGCCAGAGTGGAGCTTCAAATAACAAAAAATTTCATCCTAAAAAGGACAAAACTAGATTATTAGGCAAGATATTGTCTTGTTTTGAAATGTAATCATGTTTTTTTTTTTTTTGTGGGTCCATTCTGGGACTTGTTTTGAAATAACTGCCAGAAAGGTTTAGACTTCATAGGTTAGTGAATATAATAAATAATTGTAAAATTTGCTACCTGTGTTTTTTATATATTGCAGTTTAATGACACAGCTGAGGACATTTCTACTTCTACAAGGGAATCAACAAACAAAGATATCTTGGTGATATCAGAAACACGCCAAGAGTTATCTATCCATGAAAACATTTCAGATGAAATTGTCACCCTTGTTCAGGAGCTAGTGGACAAGAAAGAGAAAGAAGAAGGAATGATATCTTCTACACAAGAAAGCTATCCGAACGAGACAGTTGTGCTAGATATCTGGGACTTTGCTGGGCATTCTGTGTATTATACCACACATCAGGTGTGTATATCAAACCAGATTTTTTTCAAAAATTGACCTTGGTTCCAACGTTGAACTAGTTTAAAATGGCTAGAAGTAAAGTCCTGGGAAGTAAAGGCACACCTGGCGGAATATTGATCTCATCACACACTGAGTGCCGGTTCATCTCATAAAATATAGGTCTAACACTAAATACCCAGTTTGCTTAGGGAGTGGAAAATGGTCTGTTTAGGCATGTGTGGATTCTCCATGTTGTGTTGAATGTGAAGTAAAGAATACCCTTTTACACAAAAAATTTGAATAACTATAACCCATATGAGATGACCCACGTTAGGATTAACATATTGAAAGCCATCCTGTTTGTGTAGTAGGGTGATTGCCTGTACCCTTGGCATAGTGCATGATGGATATAGAAACATATTTTGCCATCTTGTAATCCTAAAATCACAGTCTTACCTTTCACATTGACACATTGTTTTGTAGCACTTCAAAACACATGCTTTCATGTCTTACCTTTCTGCTGACTAATGTTTGTAGCACTTCAAAACACATGCTTTCATGTCTTACCTTTCTGCTGACTAATGTTTGTAGCACTTCAAAACACATGCTTTCATGTCTTACCTTTCTGCTGACTAATGTTTGTAGCACTTCAAAACACATGCTTTCATGTCTAACCTTTCTGCTGACTAATGTTTGTAGCACTTCAAAACACATGCTTTCATGTCTTACCTTTCTGCTGACTAATGTTTGTAGCACTTCAAAACACATGCTTTCATGTCTTACCTTTCTGCTGACTAATGTTTGTAGCACTTCAAAACACATGCTTTCATGTCTTACCTTTCTGCTGACTAATGTTTGTAGCGCTTCAAAACACATGCTTTCATGTCTTACCTTTCTGCTGACTAATGTTTGTAGCACTTCAAAACGCATGCTTTCATGTCTTACCTTTCTGCTGACTAATGTTTGTAGCACTTCAAAACATGTGCTGCCTGCATCGAATCTGTGAATGAAAATGGCAGAGTTGCCATGTTTAGTAAACAAGAACCACTTATACATCCTCTGGATGCATGTGTACTGGAAAATAGGTCACCTACGATGTCCTCTGGATGCATGTGTACTGGAAAATAGGTCACCTACGATGTCCTCTGGATGCATGTGTATGGAAAATAGGTCACCTACGATGTCCTCTTGATGCATGTTTACTGGAAAATAGGTCACCTACGATGTCCTCTGGATGCATGTGTATGGAAAAAAGGTCACCTATGATGTCCTCTGGATACATGTGTATGGAAAATAGGTCACCTACGATGTCCTCTGGATGCATGTATTTGGAAAATAATATTCTGAAAGACAACTCATCACAAAAATCAGAAAGAAATGATCATAATTGTTTGAATCATGTTATATGTTATGAGGAGAAGAAAACTAGAACATTTTCTGACCACTGGAAAGATCTGTCAAAAAAAGAGGAGGATGACAACACAAAATAATTCTTGACAGCTTTTTACTCTGGCATGGAAGGGTGCCTGCACATGAACTGACAGCTGCCGCTGAAGATCGCAGAGTGGGGAGAGGCATGATCATCTATACTAGTCGGCAAGGTACTTGATGAAGATGATCATCTTTAGCATCATGTGGCAAAATCATCACTGAGACAGCTGCTGGAGGCTCAGGTGGTTACCAAAACCTCCACCACATGAGCAGTCTCTTGTATTTAAAGCACATGAGTGCACTGCATTGTCTTGACACAATTGTTGAACAAGTATCCTTGGTGTTAAACAGGTATTTCTAACCAGCAGAGCTGTGTACTGTATTGTGTTCAACCTCTGTGATGACCTGACCCTCAAGGAAACAGATAACAAGGTACTCACTGGTTTAGATATGATTGCATCTATTAAATGGTTCATTGCTGCTAGTGTCAGGTGTTTAAAATGTTCTTAGAATACCACGGACCAAGATGACATCCTGCATGAGCAGAGCATCCAGAAGTGGCTCATGAACAGCATCCTGTCCTGAAAGTTGGGGGTTGGTTCTACAACATCCTGTAAAGGATACAAAACTAACTTAACTACCAATGCTGGCCATTTTAGGGCAGTGTAGAACATGTGAGTCTTGAGCATGAGCACTTAAGACTGCATCTCTAGTGCAGTCACCACAAACTGTGCTGCAGGTTAAGTTATTTATTGTTATCCCCACAGAAAAATCTTGATCATCTTACAGAGGATTTGAACCCAGATCTCCTGATTGAGAGATTATAGATCTAAATGGTTAGCCAGCTGCTATTCTGCAGGATATTCACACATTGGGGGGGGGGGGGGGGGGGGGGGGGGGGGGGGGGGGGGGGGGTGGGGGGGGGGGGGGGGATTTTACTGTTTTTGCCATTTCCTATTGTTGCCAACCTCCTGTGTCTCATTGTATTTCCTTGTCATTTGCTGGAACTATTAGACCCATAAAACTATTAGACTCATAGAACTTTTAGACCAATTAGACCCATATATATAATGCTATATTTAGACATTTTTGTAAATACTTTATATGGCCATTTCCTACTGTTAACAACCTAGTATCTCTCATTGCTATATTTCCTTATTTCCTTATAATTTGTTAGAGCTGCATATGTATATATGTAATGCCGTATTTATTCACACATGTAATTTCTTTGTTTTTTATTTGAGTGTACTTATATTGCCATTCCCTACTGCTGCCAACTTCATTTCTTTCATTGTTCTGTTTCCATGTGTCTCTAGAATCACAGTAAAGCAAGCAAGATGAGCACGCTTCAGTACATGGACTTCTGGATGAGATCTATACATGCTCATGCTGCGGAGAATGCCAGCAACAGTGTTGACAATATGACCCTGTCTCCTCCCATATTTATTGTGGGGACACATCGAGACAGCTTACATACAGATGCAGCCGTCAGGTCCCAGCTGGTGAGATTGTTGTTTGTCTGCTTCTAGGTCATTCATTTCTCATATCATAAGTTTTTGGAAAGAAAGTTAAAGTTCAGAGGATCGACTTCATTGCACCAGGTTTTATCCCATATGACTCGCCCTCTCACCACAGAACAGCTGGCCACCTGCCAAGAGCATCGCACCAAGCACAAACTCCTTAGTTCCTGCAATGATCCCCAGGGATCTCCATTAAAAATTGTACTCCTGAACCAAGTGATGCAGCCGTGAAATGAACCCACAACCTTCAGAGCACAGCGCAAACAGCTTGACCACTTGGCCACAGAGACCCCCCCCCCCCCCCCCCCCCCCCCCCCCCAAAGTTTAAATTGTGTGTGTGTGTGTGTATGTGTGTGTGTGCCTGTGCACTGTAATTTTTCCATATATAAAACACTCCAAAATTAGTACATAAATATTTTAAACACATTAGGTGTAAAAGTTTTAAGCTTAAAGTATTTTGGGATACTGTCATAGGTGTGTTAGCTTTTATACCTTCACATATTTGTACCGAAGTGAAATGGAGTGAAGTGGACATTTACCTTCATAACACACTGTCTTTTCTGGAAAATTCTGTCCATTGCCAGCCTAGTTTCCTCAGCTCTTGATTCGTTGGAATGGGTACATGTCTTGGTTGCACCCTAATATTTCTCTCCATGGGTGTGACATTCCTGTACCAGTCTTGCAGACCTCTCTGGTTTCTGAGCTTGGAATGGGAACGGAAGCCTCTGCAATATAGTTCCCATGAAGATGATACTTTGATACTACCACATCAGAAGACCACTCTTACTCTGAGAGCTTCATAGCTGACACATCTTGAATGTCACTGTATGACACTTGAGAGTTGCAATTCAAGTCTTCCAGATGATTCACAGCCAGTCAGCCAATCATAAATTCTGAAAATTATTAAACACAGCCTTTGAATCAAGTTGCAACTGGCACTATAAGTATGGGAACTCTTCTTTAGCAACTGAGGCATGGGCCAGAGCAAATGTTGAAATGTTCTTAGAGCAGCGCTATTTATTAATTCATATATTTTTTAACGTTTACTATTATCACACAGTAAAGTAAGTAAAAGACCCTTTTCCACGCCTTTATGCATATAGGGCTAGACCATTATTTTATAGACCAATCAGCACAAGATGGGTGATTTGGTCAGCATCACGCCGGCCACCTTTACTTCCCAGGACTGCACCCTATATCCACTCAAGGCTGGATCGACCTGTATTATCACACAGTGTGTTAATTTAATTGTATTCTCTGAGGTGTAAAAGAAATGTTTGTGTCTTGCAGGTTAGCGAGAAGTTTGCTGTGATCAGGGAGTTTCTACTTGGCAAGCCTTATGTACAGAATATTGTCCTGCCATTTTATGCTGTAGAAAATCACATGCAGGAGGGAGAGGATGTTCAGGTAATACTCTTTTGTTGATATTCTCTTCTGCTGCAGGATCATCTTTCTAGGACAGTGGTACTGTTTTTTGTTCCTTGTTGAACAGGTAATATTTGACACAGTAATCTGAAAGAGGCGGGAGCCTGAAGACAACTTATCACAGACATCAGAAGGAGATAGTCATTGTTTTTCGGCCATGTTATGAGAAGAGGGAAAATAGAACATGTTGTGACTACTGGAAAGATCTGTGGAAGGAGAGATAGAGGAAGACAACGAGAGAAAATGCTTGAGTCTTGTTGCATGGCATGGAGGTGTGTCGGCACATGAACTGATATATGCTGCAGGAGATTGCAGATTATGGCGAGGCATGATCGCCCATGCCAGGCGACAAGGCACCTGATGATGATGAATCTGAATATGTAATTGAAGTTAAGTTTTGAAAAACCCTTTCCATCGCAGAAAGTCATAGTTGGTACATATTCAGTCAGTTGTGAAATCAACAAAATAATGGGTATAATACATCCACAGGGCCCAAATACACCTCTCTTGTTGAAGACACATCTGTTGTTGAGTGTTTTTGCATTCCCCGGCCAAACATAAAATATACAAGCATAATAATATGTTAGCTGTTGCATTTGAATAAATCAAGTAACAAACGTTGCGTTGTTTGGGACTGAAAGCATTAGAATGTGACATTGATTTAATTTGTTGAGTTGGTATTATCTCCATGTTTACCGGGAAGGCTAACCCGGTTAACAAATGCCTGCAGAAGTCGGATGTGTTGGCCGAAAGGTGCAAATATCGCAGCCATGCTGTAAACGGACACAATGCAATTACATCTTCGGATGAACGCAGAAGAAGAATCTCCATGTTTTTCTTAGCACACAGGAAGGCATGCAGATCAGAAGGTTGTGGGTTCAAATCCAAATGGAACTGGACATTTTAAAAAATGACGCTGGCTTCCAGGTTGACCTAGCCTAAAATGGGTATCAAATAATGTTCTGGGAAGTAAAGGCGGCTGGCGGGTACATCTCCCACCAAGTGCCGAAAAGTCTATAAAATATAGGCCTAACACTGTTCAACAAATAATAGATGACAATGCTGATGCACTGACGTACACCAATGGCTCTATTCATTTGGGTTCAAGTTCTGGCAGGGGAACTTCACCTACCAAGTGCTGAAAAGTATAAAATATTGGCCTAACACTGTTCAACAAATAATAGATGAAAATGTTTATGCACTGACGTACACCGATGGCTCTATTCATTTGGATTTAAGTTCTAGCAGGGAAATTTCAGCTAGAGTTAAGGAAAAAAACATGATTAAAACAAATCAGAGCTCTTTTATCTACAGCTTCAAGCATGGGGATGGAACTGGAGGCAATCATTGCAGCTCTGAAGTGGATAGCAGAAAATAATTTCCAGAGAAATTATTGTGTCTGATTCTCAGTCGGTACTGTGGAAGGTTAAAAATACACAAATGTGGTATGGTTGGATACCTATATCAGCCCGTCAACATCACAGGGACTCACCTGGATATACTGTCTGGGACATGCAGGTTTGTGAGGGAATGAAAGAGCAGATTGTCTGGCTACAAAAGTGATAGCTATGGGAACACTGGTATTGGATACAGGAGACATTCTGAAGACTAGTTATGAACAAATGCTGATAGAAGTCATGAGGTTAGATGAAATAACATGTGTAAGAAAATGTGAACAAGCAATTAGGCGTGCAGTTGGCAAGGAGGGATATATAAGAGGAAGGTCACAATGTGTGTTTGAAAAGTATGCTGCGGGACCAATTGGCATCCACACCTTGAACCTACCAAACCTGAGGCCCTGAACCTAACTGCCCCCTATACCTGAGCTCCTGTGCATCAACACGAAAAAAACCAACATGATTTACAAAAATATTAGTTACATGCAAGCAAGTGGTTAGAATAAGATGAAACTGAAAGACATTGTATAAAATAAGTTTACCCTTCATCTAGTGCCAATATTCCACCTTTGTGTGCCAATCCAACCAGCATGATCAGCCTTGTTTCATAAAGTGAGCAGCAGATGTTGCTGTTTAAGGGACATGCCCCCTTCTCTTGCTATCGATCTAGTTTTAAATCTGTAATTTTCAAGATTCTCCTCATCGCTCGAGCTCACACTGACTGTATCACTTCAACTAGGAACGTATTCTTCATGAAATTCTGACTCCTCAGAGTCTAAATCAACCAAAGTATTGATCACCTGTTGGACTGTGAAAAGCCTAGACCTACTTCACTTTCCTGTCAAAGTGCCTGGTTTTATGGCCACTTGTTTAATTGTGAATTTTCCGAATTTTTTCACGTTAAACCACACAAAGTAAATCCAAACACACGTGGGCAGCAATTTGGCAATGGCTATCCACGATTGGCTGGTTATTTTTAGTGTGTGACGCAATGTTTTCACGTAGTAGGCAAAGTACCAACAATGAGGTACACCGGTTTAGCAGCAGATTAGGAAATCACCGCAGTAGCGGTACATGGGTCTGGTAGAGTGGAGACATTTTCTCTGGCAGACAGAGCATCTTTGAGTATGCTCGATGTGCTGTGATGTTGACTCTTTTATCAGTAATCGGTGACTGCAAACTCTGTGGGTTATATTTGTACATGTGATATTTTCCTTCCTTGTCCACATGCCAGATTGCCATATTGAGAAGTGATATAGAACTGATTGCTAGCAGACAGCCTCATATGGGAGAACAGATGCCCATCAGATGGTTGAGATTTGAACAGGACATACTGGCGCAGGCAAATGCTGGCGTTAATTTTGCCTTCTACAGCCAGGTAAAAAGAATATATATATATATATATATATATATAATATATATATATATATATATATATATATATATATATATATATATATATATATGATATATATATATATATATATATATATATATATATATGTGTATATATATTTTTTTTTTTTTTTTTTATAGTTCAAATTCACCGTCTTAGTGATAAATTTTTCTGTTAGAATTTCTTATTTGTATTTAATTAATTACCTAACTTGTATACTAACCTTGATAACATGGTTGTTAGTGCACATGTTCAGCAAACATGTGGTCTGGGTTTAAGCCTCAGCTATAGCAGGATTTTTCATTATGGCCAGCATGAGTCTGAGTTTGACCCAGTTTCATAACAGGGGCAGTTAATAATTGTTTTTATGTGGTTGAGAAAGATTGCGGGAAGTCTCTTTTTTCTCTTCTTTCCATTCACCGTCTGGACTCTGGCAAATAGATCTGGTTTTTTTGTTTAATTCTGTACTTTGGCCTTGTTCCAGAACCTGAGTTTTGCTTGCACATTACTTTTACTTTTCTGTCTTATCTGTATGCAGACTGTTGGTTCCTCACCTTTCAGGTGAATGCACTCTGACTTCAAAGTAAGCACCCCTTATTAGTCAACTTTTCTGACATACTTGGGTCTGGCCGGCTCATTACACTCAGAGGAAAGGCAAGACGGACATAAAACCAGATTGTGACCGGTGCCATCAGTATTGGAACTCTGCGCTGGCTGCTGAAGATGAGGACGGAGCACACATGGGAATGCCCCGAGTGCTGTTATGTCAGTTCTTGACTCCCTGACATACTTATTAGGAGGCAGTAGGTCTGTTATTTTTCCACCACAATGGGGACCTCAGAACTCGCATGGGCAGTGGCGGGGACAAATGAAATCGGCCACCCTGCTTCATTAAGTCATGACTAATATATGTGAAGTTATCAGTGCCGAACATGGGCATTAACAACAACAACAAAACTAAAACAATACAACAGCAATGAAATGTCTATGGCAAATCCTAACTGTAACCGCAAGAGACAATATCAAAAATGATGATATCAGGAAAGAAAGTTGGGATGGAGCCAGTACTCAACTACATCAAGAGACAACTGATCAAATGGTTCAGACATGTGTTAAGACTGCCACCAGGTAGTGCACCACAGAAAGCCCTGCTTAAACACAGTGAATGCAGAGCTGGAGGTTGACCTCGATTGTATATATAATTAAGTTATGAATCGCTTTTGTAACCCCTTAACCACAGACACCAGTGTATGTATTATTGTGTGGATTACTGCTATGTTATTAACTTTCTTCTAAGCCGGAGCACGTCTGCCTGAGAGATGAGTAACCAACAGTCTGCATACACAAAAATCACGTCTGTAAAATGGAGTGCACACAAAATTTGGGTTCTGGAACAAAACTAAAGTCCAGAAGTGGATGAACAACCAGAACTTTCTGCCAGAGTTTACAGCCAGTGAACATGAAAAAGAAGAAGAAGAATTTGTTATGGATACTCTGATAGGTCATTGTGGTCTGAAGAAAATGGTGCACCCGTGGATCTGGCTGACACTCAGTGTTCAGGTGAAAGGCAAGACAAACCGCAGACGCCAATGTATGTGTTTTTGCTATTTATTAACTTTCTTCCAAGTCAGAGTACCAACAGTCTGCATACAAATAAGGCAATTCTGTAAAATGGATGTGCACAAAAAATTCAGGTTCTGGAACAAAACCAAATTCCAGAAGTGGATGAACAACCAGAACTTTCTGCCAGAGTTTACAGTCAGTTAATGCAAAAAAGAAAAAGAAGAAGAAGAAGCTATGTTAATTTCTTTGAATCATTACAGGTGTACGAGATTGCTGTCAACCACAACATCACCACTCCAGAGGAGGTGCAGGCATTGTTACATTTCTACCACGACCTGGGCATGATCATATACTACGGCAACCATGTCACAAGTGACTTCCTGCTCAGTAACCTGGTGGTGCTCAACCCACAGTGGCTGGTCAACATGTTTAAGCAAGTCACTGCTCATGTCCCGCCAAAGGAAAGGGTAAGCCTGTCTGGTCTTCCATTTTAGTAAAAGTATTAGGCGCATAAGGCATATAGGACTAGGCCTGTATTTTATAGACTAATTGGCACAAGATAGGTAATGTGTTCAGCATCATGCCGGCTGCCTTTACTTTCCATGACTGCGCCCGGTACCCACTTAAGGCTGGGTCGACCTGGGAGCCAAGGTCATTTTTGAAAAAAGTCTGGTTCCGCCAGGAAGCGTACCCACGACCTTCCGATCTGCGGCGAGCTTCTAGCCGACCCGCCACAGAGACTTCCTGATCTTCCAGTTTACCTGGTGGTAAATAGATGCACGGCAAGCTAGATGTGGTCAAGGCCCTTTGACAGAGAGTGAACAGTGTGGTACAAACAAATGAACTTTATTTTTAAAGGATTCGGAATTGGACAGGTAGACCCATCTTATATTCTGCCCCTGTGGCCCCACTCGTTCAATGCATACATCATTTAACATATAATGATAAACATCATCAATAACATCAAATCCTTTGTTACAACCACTGGAATGTTCTCTGAAAAAAAACAACTAAATGTATGTATGTAAGTTGTACCCCACCAGGATATCACACAAGCGATAAACACCCAATGACACAATGTATCACCATGTGGATGAGGATCACCCCTTTGAGAGGTCCTGGAAACCGAGTCAGCCATTAGACCATATTTATGTCCGGGCTATTTTGCAGCCCCTGGCAGTAGCCAGAGTAGGGCTTCAAAATACCGAAAAATTGCACCCCACAAGGGAATGACTAATTGGATAAGAAGAAAACTAAACTAAATTTCTAAACAGTGATAAGTATAGTCAGTGTAGTTTCTTCGGTACTCCTGGAAATATTTTGGCCCTATCAAGCACCACGACAGACTGCAGGCAAAAAATAACAGCAGAAGCCATGGTGCCAGGAAAGAGAGGCAGGGGCTTACCAGCACGAAGATGGTGACTGGATATCAGTGACTCCTTAGTATGCATGTGGTAGGAGAGCTTGCAAGAGACCAAGCTTCTTCCAGGCAAACCGTGATGAGAGCGGCATTCTAAAAAGGGCCAGCTACATAATGATAGTTTGTGTAGTAAATCTAAAGGAAATATACGGTTTGCTTAAAATCCTTTTATGTTTTTGAGGGGGAACATTGTGTGTAGAGAGATCATATTCAGATAATTTCCGATATGATGTTTAGGGGTTAGTGGTATTTTTGTAATTTGTTGTGGATACTCAGATAGGTCATCATGATCTAAAGAATATGGTGCAGAAGGGAGTGACCAGTGGATCTGGCTGACAATCAGTGCTCAGATGAAAGGCTAGACAAGCCTTCAATCAGACTGTTACTGGTATATCATCAGAACTGGAACTCTGTGATGGATGCTGAAGATGTTGCTACTGGTATATCATCAGAACTGGAACTCTGTAATGGATGCTGAAGATGTTGTTACTGGTATATCATCAGAACTGGAACTCTGTAATGGATGGTACAGATGTTGACGGAGAGCTTACAGGAATGTCCTGAGTGCTGGGATGTTTGTTCTGAACTCACTTCAGAAACTGTGCTTCATTATTGTTTGTTACATTGGAGTGTAAAGTTACCTGGTTGTCTTTTGTTTAACTCTTTGAGTCCCAAGGAACGCATCATACGTAAATTGATTCCTACCTAGAAGCCCAATGAACGCAAGATGCGCCAATTTTACGTCTATCTTGTCTACCTCTTGAGCCTGTGATGCTAAACCCCCTGGGACTCAAAGAGTTAAACTAACATCATGTAGCAATAATTTGTAGCAAGTAATACTACAAGGTAGTGTAGTATCTGGCAAAATACAGTGATACATGCCAGACAATCAATTGAGGTTTTAAAATAAGGAAATATTCATTGCTTGCAGCTAAAGGCTGCAGCTCCATGTCCATCAGCTTAGACAGGAATACAGTCATGCCCTTTGGCGTGCTCTTCATCACGGTAAGTGCTGCACGTGGCACTGAGACATTGTTTTGTATTCTTTCAGTGGAATCTGTTAGCGGATAAGTGGAACCAGCTGGTAGAACATGGCATTCTAGATGACTCTCTGCTGCCTCTCTTGTGGCCCAACAGTGAGAAGCAGCACGCTTTCCTCCTGGGGCTTATGTGCAAGTTTGATCTCATATGTCCAAGGCTACCCTCGTCTAGTCAGGTTTGTGGTTGGATTTGTAATCCAGATTAATTATACTGAAAGTGATTTTAGTTATATGCTGCTACAAGTGATTGGGATTTTATTTAGATATTTCTGGTGATTTTATTTAGGGAAAATGTTAAACATGAGTTGAATTAAATTGAGAACTGGCAGCAATCACTTTCTATACTTTACTTTTCCATGCTTTATCTTACTTCTCCATTCTTTGCCTTACTTCTCCATACTTTACCTTACTTTTCCATATTTTACCTTACTTCTCCATACCTTGCCTTACTTCTCAATACTTTACCTTACTTCTCCATACTTTAATTTACTTCTCTGAACTTAACCTTACTTTTCCATACTTAACCTTACTTCTCCATACTTTACCTTACTTCTCCATACCTTACCTTACTTTTCCATACCTTACTTCTCCATACTTACCTTACTTCTCCATGCTTTACCTTCTCCATACTTTACCTTACTTCTCCATACTTCACTTTACTTCTCCATACTTTACCTTACTTCTCCATACTTTACATTTTGTCTGCATGCTTGACCTTACTTCTCCATACTTTGCCTTACTTCTCCATACTTTGCCTTACTTCTCCATACTTTACCTTACTTCTCCATACTTTGCCTTACTTCTTTCTCCATGCTTGACCTTACTTCTTCATACTTTACCTTACTTCTCCATACTTTACCTTACTTCTCCATACTTTGCCTTATGTCTCCATACTTTGCCTTACTTTTTCATACTTTGCCTCACTTCTCCATGCTTTGCCTTACTTCTCCATACTTTGCCTTACTTCTGTAAATTTTATTTACCTAACTTGTCTCTACTTAATTTACTTTACCTTATTTAAATTTAAAAATTGGTTTTTAAAGGATAAATTTTAAAATCCGAGTTCAGAAAATTGTGACACCAAAAAGTGTGGGTGGGAAATGTTTTCTGTGGACAAGGAACAGTCTAGCTGAAAAGATTGTTCAAGTAACCTTTTACTTTACATTACTTTACTATATTTTACTTTTTGTTTAACTTCTCCACTGGTAAATTCTGTTCCAACTGCATAGCAGAGATCCTAGCACTAGAGCAGGCTAATGAAATGTTACACAACACCAGTTCTGACTGCCACCAATTGGCCATTTTCACAGATATGCTATCAGTGCCCCAAGCCCTCAAGAGTAGTAAACTCCCTCATTTTGCAAAGTGGTAGCCCAAAAGTGTACAGTACTCCAATGAGAGCCACCCCACTGTGGTGTACAAGGAAATGAAACTGCAGATAAACTTGCTAAGAAAGGAGCAGAATGGGATTAGGAAGAGAATATAATAATAACATACTATGAGAAGAAAAGGGCTGTCTAGTCTATCAGAAGTGAACAGAATCTGGTCAGAGATGACTGCCACTTACTTGATTGGTGAGGGCAGGTCATTATTCTACGCCTCGGGACAGGAAATAACAAACTTAACAAGTTTAGGCATAGGATTTGTCTAAGTAGTTCACCTTTGTACCCTTGTGGACTGTGTGTGCAGACTACAGAACATGTCCTGCAAGAATGTCCCCTTTACAAGCCATTAAGAAGGGAATAGTGGCCCAATGAGTCAACACTGCACTCAGAGTTGTATGGAACTAAAAGGGAACTCCTCAAAACATTGAAGTTTATCACAAGAACTTGTCATCGGTGCAAATCATGAAGCCAGCACAAAAAGAAGAGGAAGTTTAACTTTACTTCACTATACTTTATTTACTTTATTTTATTCAACTTCACTGTAAAGACCAGTGGCTTTTAAACAACGGTACAAGAGTTGCACCATGGAAGATATTAGGGCCTTCCCATGAAATTGTCCAATAACTAGCAGTAAACACATTGTAATCAACCTCATCTGTGGAGACAGCACAGTTTGTCTAAAAAACTGTAAGACAGTTTCATGAGCATTTAAAATATTTGTGTGTGTTTTAATCTCTGATTTGTTTTTTTATATGGCTGCTGATATATTATGTATATCAAACAAAACACTTGTTCTTGTTTAGTCTGTATGTTTGTTATTCTTGTCCACAGATGCAAAGAAACCCCAGCAAGAGTTGGTATGTGCCTATGCGGTTTGGCTCTTACAAAGACAAGAAAAAAGTCTATGCACAAACCGTCCATGATGCCAGATTTTACATTGACTTCAGTGGGTTTCTTCCTGGTATGTTGCTTGTGAGTGTGTGTGTGTGTGTGTGTTTTTTTTTGGGGGGGGGGGGGGGAGGGGGGTCTTTTTATTTACACTTTGCTTTATTTGTGTATTCTCTTTCAGTCGCAAAATCACATGCTGTGAGAAAAACTTTATCCACTAAATCCAGTCCTTAGCTTAATGTGCTCTTTTACTTTTTACATTTGACCAGAACATATTTAAGAAAACTGGCTTATTCAATGATCACTACTACTGTTATATTAGCACTTTGAAAATAATGCATTCATTAATTTTAAACGTGGATACTTCTTCATTTTGCCATCTCCTACAAAACCTTCTGGTCTGCTAAAAAAGGTAAGTTATTTGAACAGTTTTTTTTTGTCTGCAGCTTAAGCGTTGAGAAAGACTTTCATAATTTTGAAATAGCCGGTCCGATTCAGCGGCAGACGATTTGGCAACATACCACTTTACGCTGATTTTGACAATGGTATTGATAATCCTCTGTTTATGCAGAAAACAATGGCAAATTACTGAAAATTAAATTACCTAGTATGGTCACAAAATAGCCAAAAAATACTTTGGTTGGTTCTGCAACCTCCTATAAAGGATACTCAGCAAATTCAACAGTTTGCTTTGCAAAGACAATTCCATGTGTGATGTGTTTCTAAAATGTTCATGATGTGAAACAATAACATCAAGAGCAGTTTAGAGAACTGAAGACCGGCTTACACAGCCAGTTAAAAAGAGCACACATATGCTTTCATCTCCTCCCAAATCTTTACTGACATAACTAGAGAGAGAGAAGAAGAAGTAAATTGTCTGGTTTAATCCTTGCTTATTTAAACCACATTGTTCTTTGGGCCACATTTAAAAGCAATACAGTGAAATTGAGCAGTAGAGGTGAAGTGGCTAATGCTCTTTACAAATCATTTGAAGGTTCTGTCTTCAACCTCCTCTAAAGTTTAGATTTTGACATGACCCCATGACCCCCAGTGTTGACTGAACCTGATCAGATGGCCACCTTCAGCGTAGAAAGGGAGGCACCCTGGACGAAATGAAAGACTGACTATGCAATCCCACAACCAAGGAAGGTCTATATAAACATTGTATTGATGGGAACTACTAGCTAGTGCAAAAATCGGCCAGTACATCCAGAAACAGCCAACAAATGCTAGGGTTAGTTCTGCAGTCTCTTGATGACGATCTGAATGGATGCTAATACAATTAACAGAATGTAGTCTCAGATGGAGAACAATTGTTTATATGACTGCTAGTACAACTGTTGTTTATTCAGCCTGAAATAATATGTAGCAGAGGTTTGTCTTGGAAGACACGGCATCCAGAAAGTGAACTGTTCTCCCAACATTATGTTGCCTGTAAAGGCATCCAGAAAGTGAACTGTTCTCCCAACATTATGTTGCCTGTAAAGGCATCCAGAAAGTGATCTGTTCTCCCAACATTATGTTGCCTGTAAAGGCATCCAGAAAGTGAACTGTTCTCCCAACATTATGTTGCCTGTAAAGGCATCCAGAGCAATGTTGATTGGGCCATTCATCAGGTGTTGAATGGTCTATAAAAATGTAGGTCAATAACCGTATGTGCCTAATGTGCCAGTGGCCTGTAGTGGGTCCTTTACGTAATGATAGAAAAAATAACTCAATGACAAGCATGTTGAAGACACCAATAACAGATCAAGAAGATGTAACACATGAGACAAAAAGAATTACAGTTACAGATACATTGACTTATTTAGGTCGCAATATTTTAAGCCAAGTAAAAATAAGAGCAGAAATGATGACACATATTGGCAAGACATCAGCAGCTTTCAAAAGCTGTAACACAAACATGGAACTCTAAATTATAAAGTTTTTAGAACCAAGTTACAAATGTTCAGTTCTAATGTTATTTAAGTTTTTACAGTGCCAGTGACAGTTGGAGAACCACTAAAGATGTGGAACAAAAGTTAAATGTATTTGAAAACAAACACCTGAGGAAAAGGATGAAAATAAAATGGTATGAATTCATGAGTGGTAAAGAAATAAGAAAACTGTCTTGGCAACCACTGGTACAAACAGTTAAAAGACAGAGAAGATGGCGCTGTATTGGACACATTGTGAGAAGAGATGAACAGAGAACCACCAGACAAGCACTGAAATGGGAAAGAGTGGGATGGAAGAAAGGAGAATGTTAAAAGAACCTCTGAGGTGAACATTGATCAGGAATCAGAAAGCACTGGACTGGATTCCATCCATGGTATCAGAGTGATTGCACAAGATGGAAGGGATGTCAAGAGTAGACTACAAGTGCTGTGTGACATATAATGGCACAACAGGACAATGAAGGAGTTGAGTGAAGAATTGACATCACAGCACTCGGGGCATTCCCATGCGTGCTATGTCCTCATCTTCAGCAGCCAGCGCAGAGTTCCAATACTGATGGTACTGGTCTCAATCTAGTTATATGTATGTCTTGCCTTTCCTCTGAGTGTAGTGAGCCAGCCAAACTGGTTACACCCAGGTGCCTCATTCTCTCCAGGCCATAATAATCTTGTTTCTCTACTAATTCCGTTGATTGCTCCAAAAGGGCCTTTTCATGTATCAATTCACCACCCAGTGGTGCAGATATAGCCAGTCTGTCTGCCTCTTCATTACCCACTACGCCAGCATAGCCTGGAGAAAAGATCCAAAGTAGAGAATGAATGATGATGTAAAAGCATATGTGAAGGACCAATAATAAGTGACATTATCTGCCTTGAGTTATATTACATGCTAATTTACACACAACCATATTATTGACTAATTCAGAAGGACTGTTTCACCGCGTCCAAGCAAGAACGGTAACTTGGTCCCAGGAGCATGGAGGGCGGGATCTTTTCTTGGCGCGGGGTATTGCCAGGGTTTTTGTTGACCCTGATCATGATCTTCTGATAGAGATGTGTGAACCTCATCACCACAGGATCAAGGTCAGTGATGTTGTCAGTACCTGGGACATGTCCACATGTGTCCTATCTTCCTCAGAGTTGTCTCCTCCTCTTCTCTGCATTCACCAACTGTAAACTTTGGTGGAAAGCTCTGGTTGTTCGTCCTTTTCTGAACTTAAGTCTTGTTCAAGAACTTGAGTTGTACATGCACATCTGTTTTACATATCTGATTTGTTTGCATGCAGGCTGTTATTTCCTCACCTCTCGGGCAAATGCACTCCAGATTCAAAGGAAAAGCCTTAATTAGTCACTTTAAACGATGTTGTGCTTGTTGGGGGCAGTGGGTTTATCCCCCCCCCCCCCCCCCCCAATAATGGGGACCCAGGAACCCAACCTGGAGTCAGAGAGCATAATTAATTACAGATCCTGTGGCCAATCAGTTATATCAAATGTATTGTCTACTACCACAAGTCTTTAGCGTGAGTTGGTTGAGGGCCTATGCTCCATTGGGGGATAGAAAGGCAGAAGAAGAGACCACAAGTCTTCCTTATAGGGCTAAATGGGTTTCTAATTCTGTTTGTTATAGCCGCTAATGGTCATGTTGTTGTTATCGATCCAGCGGCGCATGAGCTTTCGCCCTTTGGCCCAATGCCATGTAGTGGAATTTGCATGTTTTCACAAGCTGTTCTTTTCCTCCGTACAAGGTGTTCCACTTGTCTGGTCTCGGAGGGAGTAGCGTTCTTCTTGTCTCACTGAGTTTTGGGCACTCAAAGAGATGGTGTTCAACAGTTTCGTAGGGGTAGTTACATAGCTGGCACTCTGGGGAGTGTTGTGGCTGTATTCTGTTTAGGTGTCCATTGAGTGGAGTATGTTGCGTTCTAAGTCTGAAGATGGTGGCCTGGTCCCTTCTTGTTAGATGGTTAATGCTGTCATTAGGATCGCCAGACATATGTCTATAAACCTCTCTTCCAGTGTCTCCCATGGCCCATCTGTTCAACCAAGTCTCTTTGTTTATAGCTCTTATCAGTGTTTTTGCTGTCTGGAGGGTTGTCGCTGTAGGTGGTTGTTCTTGTGTTGCTCCTTTCTTTGCCAATCTGTCAGCTCTGTCATTACCTGGTGTGCCGGAGTGACCTGGAATCCACTGCATCACTATTCTGATGTTGTATGAGGTAATAAGCTGATCGGCATCCAGGATTATCTTGGCTATGTCAGTTCTGCAGCGTTCATTGCCCTCCAGAGCTTGAAGGGCAGACATTGAATCTGTGAAGATGACAATATTTTGGACCTTTGAGGGGTAAACATCCATTACAGTCTTTAGGTGGTATACGGCTGTTTCCAGTGCAATTATTTCAGCTTCATAGTTTGAACAGAATTCCCCGCATGCATCAAAAATCTCTTCAACAGATCCATCGGGATAACCTATGTAGATTCCGTAACCTGCTTTAATGGTAGCTTTAAATGCTGATCCATCAGTATAGACATGTATCCATTCTTGGGGGTAAGAATCAACGGTCTTTAGTGATGAGTTCATAAGAGCGATTGGGTCGGACTGTTTGGTTTCCTCGCCTACCAATTTAGTTTGGACTTCTGGAGCTTTAAAGCGAGCATGTGGTGGTAGGTTTTTTGCAACATTCTGAATTCCTTGACGTCTTTCTGGGAGGTGGTATCTGTCCTGAATTTCATTAACACAGTGTAAAACCGATTTGTGCTTTATTCTTTGTTTGGATTCCCAGTTTTCTACAAGATGTCTATTAGGATGGTTACGATTTTTCCTAACGCATCTTTCATAAATTTCTAAAGTGGCTTTTTCTCTCCGCAACCCGAGGGGTTCCACATTTGTATGGATTTCACATGCAGCAGTTGGTGTAGACTGCATAGCTCCGCAGATTAATCGGAGGGCATTATTTTGTACTCTGTCAAGAGTCTCTAGGTTAGTTTTGGAACAAGTTGTAAGCAGTGAGTTGTTGTACTCTATCACAGAGCGAACATATCCTAGGTATAAGCCCCTCAGAGTTTCCTTGTCTGATCCCCATGATGTACCTGCAAGTCTCTTTAATAACTGTAACCGCCTCAATGCCTTATTCCTGATGTTTTCAATATGGTTCTTGAGGCTGAGCTGCGGGTCAAGTGTGACTCCAAGGTATGTGGGATGCTCTTCTTTCATCACTTGGTGTTTGTCTAACCTCAGGTTAATATTCTTCCTTGCTACTTGGTGGCTTTTGGTAAAGATTGTGTAGACCGTCTTTGCACAGTTAATCTTGAGTTTCCATCTTTGGCAGTAATCATGCAGTCTTCTAAGGTCTCCATTCAGTCTTTGGGCTCCACTTTCCACATTTTCATGACTCTGCCATATTGCTAGGTCATCAGCGTACAAGGCTTTTTCAGCCTTGATTTGTTCTGGCAGGTCATTGATAAAGATTAGGAATAGTGTACAGCTCAATGATGAGCCTTGTGGCAAGCCCTCCTCCAAGACTTCTTTAGAAGAGATTGCGTTGTGCATCTTAGTCTGGATTGTTCTATCTATCAGGAAGTATTTCACCCAGTTATACAATCTGCCATGTATTCCTATGCTCATCATCTTCATCAGGAGACCTTTTCTCCATACTCTGTCATAGGCCTGCTGAAGGTCGACAAAGACTGCCACTGTGTGTTTCTTATTCTGGAAGCCATCATGTATTCTTTGTGTCAGTCTGAACAGCTGGTCTTCTGTGCAGCTGTTGGTTCTGAAGCCTGCCTGTTCATGGCATAGAGCACCAGAACTCTCAAGGAACCAATATAAGCGCCTGTTTATCATTCTTTCTGCAACTTTGCCCAAGCATGATGTTAAGGATATCGGGCGGTAGCTTTTGGGGTCATCTGGAGGCTTTTTGGTTTTAAGGATGGGGACGATATATGCATTCCTCCATGCCCTTGGAAGTTTGCTTGACCTCCAAGTTTTATTAATAAGCCTGAGAACTACTTCTCTCCCAGACCGGCCAAGATGTAGCAGCATTTCGTTGTGGATCTTATCTGGGCCTGGAGATTTTCTAGGTTTTAATTTCTTCAGGGCTTGCTCTAATTCATCCATGCTAAATTCATTTTCAAAAAGGGAGTCGCTGGCTGTTGGAGCTCTCTCTTGTTTCTTCAACTGAGAGAGCTGTGTTCTATCGAGTTCTGACAGCTTACCTGCTCTGTTAACCGAGGCAAAATAATGATTGAAATGTTCTGCTTTCTTCTTGTCTTCAGTGATTGTCTTACTCCCATCTGTCACTGGTTTTGGGTTCACCCTTCTACTTTCTCCGGAGAGGTTTTTAACTAAAGTCCATGCTTTATTTCCATTCTGTCTAAGGTCTAAGTTGGAGCAAGTTTCTGTCCATTTATCTCTTTTAGCCTTATTAACTACAAGCTTTACTCTGGCACATGCTTTATTGTATTGGATCTTTGCTTCTGTTGAACGTGCAGTTTCGAGAAATATTCTTGCTTTATTCCTTTCAGATATAGTATTTTGAATTTCTTGATTCCAAAAAGGTTTATATGCCTTCCGGCTGCCCCTTGGGATGGCTTTCGACGCTGCATTCAGGATTGCTTGTGTTATGTCTTCACAAAAAGTTTCCACACAGCTGTTGTCAATTCTTCCCAGGAGGCAGTCAGATGTTTCCTGAAATAGTTTCCAGTTTGCTTTTCGGAAATTCCAACGAGTTCTCTGCTTGAAGCGTAATTTAGGGGTGGTGCTTACAGTTGTGAGTATAGGTTTGTGGTCACTTCCTATGTCGTCCAGGACTTGGGGATAGCTTGCGTCTGCTAAGTCGGATGAGCAGATGGTCAGGTCTGGTCTGCTGAGAGATAGGTGGGCCCTGTGTAACAGTGTAGGTGTAGACTCTGTGTCCTGCAGCACTAATAGGTTAGTTGTTTCACAAGTATCTTCGATGTACTTCCCTGTGCTATTGTAGTCAGGGTAACCCCAGCGTGGCGAGTGTCCGTTGAAGTCACCAACAAGAAGGGTTTTATGGTACTGTGTCTTGTATAGTTCTGGTATGTTGCATGTTGTCTGGGGTGGGCTGTACACGTTGTATATCGTGTATTTGCTTCCATTGTGCCAGATAGTTATTTTTTGCACATCTGTAGGGTGAGATGTCGACAGCATTGTTACATCTCCTTGTATGTCATTTCTGATATAGGTCACTATGCCCCGGCAGTCATTGCTAATGGTCATCAGTCTGTATTTCTTGAAGCACCAGGCAATCAGTATTTGACATCACCATGCATCTATTCCTGAAACCTCAGTGATTTATCTGGAGACTAGCCCTTTGATTTCCACACATAGTAGCATTGCCTAGAAAATAAAGCACCTGATAGACTTAAATGACTTGACCAATCGTGCCAGAATAATCTGGTCTGATCCTTGTGGAGCATTGACTGAGTGTCAGGGATGACAAAGTTACGACTACTGCCTTGTTCAGTGGAGTTTCTGTCAGGTAGCCATCCTCAAGTTGCATTAGCTGCCTCTGTTGCCATGTTTGAAAATGAATAATTATGTTGCGCAAGTATAATCCCCCCCCCCCCCCCCCCCTCTCCCCCTACCGCTCTCTCCCCCTCGCCCGACCTTCTAGCTGTGAAATTGCAGCCTAATCTCTCACATACTTGCCATGATCTGTCGGTGAAATACTCTCCTGTGATATCTTTCAGCTGCCTTATTTCAGACTCTTATTTTGAGTTTCACCACTTCTGTGATTTGCTGGCAAGAACTAACTAGACCTGGTGATATTTGTTCATGGTAGTTAACCCATTCTTCCCCTCAACAGGCACATTGTCAGTTTCCAGTATTAACAAGAGTTAAAATTGAAAATGTGTTATGTGTTACTCATTAATTATGTATTTTATTGCCAATTATACTTTAATATCAATTTGCTTACTACATCTTGTTGTTGTCTCATTAATAAATTTTTGCAAAACTTGTCTGTTTCATGCATGTTATGTCTTCAGGATGTCTTGAAAGAAACTGACTTATGAAGAGAACTGACTGCACACATTGCATTCTTTGGTCATGTTAGGAGAAGGAGACAACTTGAGTACATTGTGACAATAGTAAAATTGGAGGGGAGGAGAGGCAGAGGGAGACTGAGAGAAAAGATGTTGGACAGTTTGACATTGTGGCATGGAGGATCATCTGTGTCAGGGATGATTGAAAGTAATGAGACAGAAGGTTGTGAATAGACATGACTACCAACGCTACACGGCATGGACTTTAAGAAGAAGAAGATGTCATGTTATTCTGTAACTAAATGGACAAACATTTGTCTTTTTCAATACCATTGATTGCTTTAATAACAAAAGTGATAGTATTTCTTATATTGTATATATTACAGGTTCTCATCATGCATGTTAAGGACAAGGAGGCAACTTCAAGTCGGAGAAACTCCAGCCCTTTACCAGAGATTGTGGCCAGGGTAATTTGATCATGTGTCCAAGCAAAGGTCTTCCACCTACTGATATCATATGATTATAACCCTTTACCAGAGATTGTGGCCAGGGTAATTTGATCATGTGTCCAAGCAAAGGTCTACCACCTACTGATATATGATTATAGCCCTTTACCAGAGATTGTAGCCAGAGTAATTTGATCATGTGTCCAAGCAAAGGTCTTCCACCTACTGATATCATATGATTATAACCCTTTACCAGAGATTGTGGCCAGGGTAATTTGATCATGTGTCCAAGCAAAGGTCTACCACCTACTGATATCATATGATTATAGGCCTTTACCAGAGATTGTGGCCAGGGTAATTTGATCATGTGTCCAAGCAAAGGTCTTCCACCTACTGATATCATATGATTATAGCCCTTTACCAGAGATTGTGGCCAGGGTAATTTGTTCATGTGTCCAAGCAAAGGTCTTCCACCTACTGATATCATATGATTAAAGCCCTTTACCAGAGATTGTTTCCAGGGTAATTTTATCATGTGTCCAAGCAAAGGTCTTCCACATATTGATATCATATGATTATAGCCCTTTACCAGAGAATATGGCCAGGGTAATTTGATCATGTGTCCAAGCAAAGGTCTTCCATATATTGATATCATATGATTATAGCCCTTTACCAGAGATTGTGGCCAGGGTAATTTGATCATGTGTCCAAGCAAAGGTCTTCCACCTTTTGATATCATATGATTATTTATCTGTATATTCCCCATGTGGGTTCAGAGGCCCCGTTGTGAGGAAAACAAGAATAGACCCATTACCTCCCCAACAAGCATGTCCTAGGAGTCAACTAATTTTGAGGCATGCGTTGAAGGGTAAATCTGGCTGAGAGGCATGGAACCAAAAGTCTGTGTACAAATAAGGTTGTAAAATGGAGGTTGGAGGTTCTGGAATAAAACAAATGTCCGGTGGTGGACAAACACCGAGAACTTACTGCCAGAGTTTACATCCAGTGAACTTGAAGAGAAAGAAAAAGAAAGTCTGTACATACATCTTCCTCTTCTTATTTTCTGCACTTTGTCCTCCCTGAGGAGCATAGGCTCTTAAATAACTCATGCTTAGTCCATTGTAGATGCGTGTTGAGCTAAGAACTGACATCACAGCACTGGGGACATACCCATAACCACTTAGTCCTCATCTTCACCAGCCGGTAAAGAGTTCTAGTTCTGAAAGTGCTACTAACAATTTGATTATGTGTCCGTCTTGCTTTTCCTTTTGGTGTAGAGCAGGGCTATTCAAGTAAGTTAACTCAGGGACCAAAATTTTGGTAGCGGGGATCGTCACGGGCCAGAGGCTGTAACCCCAGCATAGAAAGATCACTAATACAATACAACTGGAAATGATCCGTGGGCCATTTGCTAGGCCTCTACGGGCCGTCAGTTGAATAGCCCTGATGTAGAATGTCAATCACATCCCCTGGTCCCTCCCAGCTGTACCATTCTCCTTAGGCCATTATGATCTGTTCCTACCTCTTCAGGGTTCACCTGCTCCTAAAGGGCTCTTTGTAGAGTTAAAGTTAAAAGAATCAACTCCTTTGTACATGATTGTAGCCCATATGGCTCAGTCTCTTTCAGCAGAACAGCTGGTTCCCTGCCAGCAGCATCACACAAAGCACAAACTCTAGCTCCAGCAATGATCCCCAATTGTACCAGTGAACCTGTAAAGCAAACCCACGACCGTCAGCTTAACCATTTCACCACGGAAATTTGCTTTGTTTTGTGAGTTTGTTTGGGAAGCCGTTTATAGATATTTCTTGACCGGTCGAGCCTTTGAATTTAGGTGCCTCATGTCCAGTGCTGTCACCATAGACTGTGCAGGTTAGAATTTTATTGCTGCCCCCAATGAAAATATGTGACGTTGCCAAAGATTTTAACCAGGGTCTCACCTCGTGGCTTCCTGGGCCCCAGTGTAGGGGAGAAGAGAATAGACCCACTGCCTCCCTAAGAAGCATGTCATTAAAGTCCACTAATTAGGAATGTCCTTTGAAATGGGAGCTCATCTGTCTTGAGAAGCCAGCAACCAACAGTGATCCTGCAAATAAACCAGATCTGTTAAACGGATGTGCAGGGAAAATTCAAGTTCTGGACCAAGAATAAAGTCCAGAAGGTGACAAACAATCAGAACTTTCACACCAGAGTTAGCAGCCAATAAACATGAACAAGAAGAAGAAACTGTGTCTCTTGCATGAAAGCCCAGTGTTCTTAACCATGTAACAAGCCACTTCACCTCTCTCCAGATAAAACTACATTATTTTTTTGTGTTGGTGTTTTAGTGATAGCCTAACCAAGACCTGCTCCATTGATGGGCCATGCTGCTGACGTCACCAAACCAGGCTAATGATGTGTTATGTACCGTCAGGCAAAAAAAAATGTGTGGCACATCTACCTTTAAAGCGGTTTTAATAGTTAAGAAAAGAAGAAAAATGTACCATGGCACCCAGTTTGAAAATCACTGTGTTAACGTATCATTACCCGGGTTTGGTGATGTCAGCAGCATATCCAGTCAGCTGGAGCCGGTGTTGGCCTAACAGCCACCTGGCAGACTGCCATTACCTCCTGTATTTACCACACTTGTGGTGTAGCAGGGGGAGGGGACATGATATTTGACCCTGAGGATTTAGGGCTGCATGGTTAGTGCTGTAGCCTGGGACTGTAAAGGTTAGGATTTTATTTTTGCCCTCTACAGAAAAATTCCTTACCGAGAATTTGAACCCTAGTCACCCGCTTGAGAGCCCAGCGTTCTAACGACCGGCCAGCCTCTTCTCAGCCATCATTTCTTCTTCTTCTTCTGCCTTTCTAGCCCCCAATTGAGCATAGGCCCTCAACCAGCTCATGCCAAGCCGTTCTATCTTTTGCAGCTCTCCCCATGTCCTCCCCATCTTTCTAACTTCATTCTCCAGCTCCCTTCTTCATGTATTTTTTGGCCTTCCTTTATTCCTATGCCCCTGTGGGCTCCATTGCAAACACATTCTAGTTATATTGCTCTCTGGTTTTCTCAGTGTGTGTCCTATCCAACGCCAGCGTCTTTTCTTCACCTCTTGGTCAACTGGAGCTTGCTTAGTTCTCTCCCAAAGCTCTACATTAGTGATTCTATCATACCATTTAATTCCCTCTATTCTGCACAGGCACCAGTTAATGAATGTCTGTAGTTTATTAGTAACAGCCTTAGTTGTTCTCCATGTTTCCGCCCCATACTGATTTGACATTATAATTAAAAATTTAAATTCCTGCTAATTTTTTAACAGTCCATTAGCACGTGTGAAAAAACCAAGATAATTTAATCTAGAATAAATAAAAAATAATGCAAAATAAATTGTTTTCTGTGACTAATATTGTCAAATGTGTTGTGGGCTCAGGTGCGACACTTTCTGTGACTAATATTGTCAAATGTGTTGTGGGCTCAGGTGAGACACTTTCTGTGACTAATATTGTCAAATGTGTTGTGGGCTCAGGTGCGACACTTTCTGTGACTAATATTGTCAAATGTGTTGCGGCCTCAGGTGCGACACTTTCTGTGACTAATATTGTCAAATGTGTTGTGGGCTCAGGTGCGACACTTTCTGTGACTAATATTGTCAAATGTGTTGCGGCCTCAGGTGCGACACTTTCTGTGACTAATATTGTCAAATGTGTTGTGGGCTCAGGTGCGACACTTTCTGTGACTAATATTGTCAAATGTGTTGTGGGCTCAGGTGCGACACTTTCTGTGACTAATATTGTCAAATGTGTTGCGGCCTCAGGTGCGACACTTTCTGTGACTAATATTGTCAAATGTGTTGCGGGCTCAGGTGCGACACTTTCTGTGACTAATATTGTCAAATGTGTTGCGGCCTCAGGTGCGACACTTTCTGTGACTAATATTGTCAAATGTGTTGTGGGCTCAGGTGCGACACTTTCTGTGACTAATATTGTCAAATGTGTTGCGGCCTCAGGTGCGACACTTTCTGTGACTAATATTGTCAAATGTGTTGTGGGCTCAGGTGTGACACTTTCTGTGACTAATATTGTCAAATGTGTTGTGGGCTCAGGTGCGACACTTTCTGTGACTAATATTGTCAAATGTGTTGCGGCCTCAGGTGCGACACTTTCTGTGACTAATATTGTCAAATGTGTTGTGGGCTCAGGTGCGACACTTTCTGTGACTAATATTGTCAAATGTGTTGTGGGCTCAGGTGCGACACTTTCTGTGACTAATATTGTCAAATGTGTTGCGGCCTCAGGTGCGACACTTTCTGTGACTAATATTGTCAAATGTGTTGCGGCCTCAGGTGCGACACTTTCTGTGACTAATATTGTCAAATGTGTTGTGGGCTCAGGTGCGACACTTTCTGTGACTAATATTGTCAAATGTGTTGTGGCCTCAGGTGCGACACTTTCTGTGACTAATATTGTCAAATGTGTTGTGGGCTCAGTTGCGACACTTTCTGTGACTAATATTGTCAAATGTGTTGTGGCCTCAGGTGCGACACTTTCTGTGACTAATATTGTCAAATGTGTTGCGGCCTCAGGTGCGACACTTTCTGTGACTAATATTGTCAAATGTGTTGCGGCCTCAGGTGCAACACTTTCTGTGACTAATATTGTCAAATGTGTTGTGGGCTCAGGTGCGACACTTTCTGTGACTAATATTGTCAAATGTGTTGTGGCCTCAGGTGCGACACTTTCTGTGACTAATATTGTCAAATGTGTTGTGGGCTCAGTTGCGACACTTTCTGTGACTAATATTGTCAAATGTGTTGTGGCCTCAGGTGCGATACTTTCTGTGACTAATATTGTCAAATGTGTTGTGGGCTCAGGTGCGACACTTTCTGGGACTAATATTGTCAAATGTGTTGCGGCCCCAGGTGCGGCACTTTCTGGAGAGCTGTTTGGTAGATCTTCGCAGCATGTGGATGAAGCGACTGGCCTACCAGATGTGTTTTGCCTGTCCTTGCACTCGTGTTTGTCCCTTACATGAGGTGGAAGCCTGCCCATCAGAGGAGTGCTTACATTTCTTGGATCTTGATGAATGCTTGACCAGTCAGGTAAGAGAGTTATGATATGGGAAGGGGGGTTAGTGTGCATCAGTTCTGTGCTGTGCATTACCAGCACTAAATTGAATTTAGAAACTATGTTGTACATTATTGGCTCTTTGTTGTGCATTACAAACTCAATTTTACATTATAAATTCTTTGCTGAATAATTGTACAAGCTTTGTGTTGTACATTAGAGCACTGTATTGTACATTTCAAAATTATTTTTACATTAAAAACTCTTTTTTGTGTGTTACATACTCCTTGTTGTATATTGCAAACTCCTTTTTATGTTACAAACTCTTTGTTGTATGTTACAAGCTCTGTGTTGTATGTTACAAACTCTGTAATGTGCAAACTATATTGTAAATTAAAAACACTGTCTTTTAAATTGCATACTCTATGTTGTATATTACTAGCTCTATGCTATATGTTACAAGCTCTGTGTTGTATGTTACAACTTTGTTGAATATTGTAAGCTCTGTGTTATACGTTACAAGATGTGTTTTATGTTACAAACTGTAAATTGTATATTACAAGCTCTGTGTTGTATGTTAGAAGCTCCATATTGTATGTTTCAAACTATATGTTGTGTGTTAGTTAGTTAGTTAGTTAGTTAGTCTTTCCTCTTGTGTCGAGTGCGGCACATAGGGCAGAGGTCATGACTCTCCATGCATGGCGGTTCGTTGCAATCTGTTGTAGGTCTTGGATGTTTGAGTGGCCCATGAGCGAGCCTTCCCTGATGATAGTTCTACGTAGGGTTTCCCTTGGTCTTCCACGAGATCTTTTCCCCTGTGGTGTCCAAATGAGGGCTTGGTAAGGAAGTCTTGATTTGTCCATTCTAAGGGCGTGGCCAACATAGTTCCAGCGGCGTTTTCGTATAAAATTAGACACATACTCTTGCCTGGATTCTTGCCTTATTTGTGTATTGGTTCGGAAATCTGATGTTGTGTGTTACAAACTCTATATTGCATGTTACAAGCTCTGGTTTTTAAACAAAAATTTAATTATGAGCTGTATATTTTTAATTAAATTACAAGAATATTGTTGTATGTTACAATTTCTTTGACGTCTTCTTCTTAAGAGTTTGAGGTTCATTGCTGCAGATATCACCACCATTCATTCATCTCTCTGACTGACCTTCTGTTTTCAGTTGGTGACCATAAGTGTTTGTAGGTCTGCCTGTATGTTTTCTCTCCCCCGTCTTCTTGGTCTGCCCTGTGGTCTCTGCTTCCATTCAGCTCTGCTGTGAGTGCAGTTTTTGTCTCTCTGTTACAATCTGTATGTTTTTAAAATTAAATTACATTCTCTGTATTTCTGTATTCAAAAATGTGAAACTTCATTCACAACCATTTAAGATTAGATGTAAGTAAAGTAAAGTACAGATCCCTTTTTATGCCTTGGGCGCATTGGGCATATGGGAAGAGCACCCATATTTTTACAGACCATCGGCACTAGGTGGGTAATGTGGTCACCATTACGCTGACCATCTTTACTTTCCCAGGACAGCCCATCCTGGTTCCCATTTTAGGCTGGGTCGACCTGTGACACCCCCATACCATGATAAAAATTCAAGCAGCCAGTAGTGGGTTCCGATTGCGGTATGTTGGAATTACTTGTCAGACTTGCAACGCCTAAGGCACGGACGCCGCACAGATTAGATGTAGGGATGTTAATGTTTATATGTTGATTATTTTCAGATCGTCTGCTGTGAACATCGGAGGATTAAAACGGAGCAGTTTAAAAAGTGGTTTCCACCTGTAGCCTCAAAAGGTACAGCAGTTAGCTCACTTGTTAAAGATTCAAGTAATTCTTGGAAATTTATCAGCTTGCACACATACTAGGTCATGAAAATATGTGGTAGGGTATCCGGATATCCCCTCAGTCCTTTCCGATTTGGACTGCAGATTACACCTGTCTGGTGTACCTGCTACAGGGCTCTAATTATAACTTCTTTTGGGGTTAAAGAGAGTATCTGGGATCTGTCTTGTTAGTTTGCCATCCAGATTGAGATGTGTATCTCAAAATGGTATGGTTAACCTTCAGGTAGCAGCCCAGATGGGACAAGTGATCAATCGATCTTCTCATATCATTTCCTTCCCATGCTATAAGTCTCTGGTCGGTTTTCTGAGTCAGTCTCTGACCTCTGTCAACCAAAGCAAATCTCATAAGAAAGGTTTTTTGGCTGACATTATGCTACTAGTGCCAAACATGAACCCTTACTATAACTAATGAGAGGAAGATCGTAACAACAGAGATGAGATGTCTTAGGAGAGTTGCCGGTGTGACATAAAGAGATATAATCAGGAATGGAGAAATTAGAAGAAGACTAGCACTGAAACCAGTCATTCAATTCATTAAAGAACAAGTGAGATGGTTTGACAGCCTGACAAGAATGCCCTGGTACCAACTGCCACAGAGAGCCACGCTGAAGAAATAAAGTGATCACAGAGCAAGGGGAAGACCAAGCAATAATGGAGCGACATCATCAGGACCAAACTAACAGAAATGAACATCAACTTGTACAATGCATCGGGAAAAGCTCACAAATGATCCTTGAATCTCCTGCCAACACCTTCCTGAGGTAAATAAAGGAAGAGAAGAAGAAGTATCAGACCTCAGATTGCATTGTCTTGTGTGGAAGCTGTCAAGTTGCACTAATACCATTACAGTTTTATAGGAAACATGCCATCTTCTTTACCTGTTTTGTGATCATGATAGCCCACAGAGGCTTTTGAGGTTTGAACAACGGATCAACATCATGGCACACGGGTAGTAACCCATAAGTGCTGCGTTCTTCTTCTAACTCAAGCCTGAGTCCGAAGAAGCTCAGCACAGGCTCTGTAGCACTGGCGAGCATCCTAAAATACTGCTTTACCTCTGGGGCATCTCTCAGGTCATGTCCCTGAACACAGACTGAGTCTTCAGACTAGCTGTATTCCAGGAACCATCATGCCTTTCTTAAGATGGGAAGCTTTAGTACAACGGTTCTCAACCTATAGTCGTGACGCTTTATTGTTGAACGATCCTTTCACCTGGGTTGCCAAAGACCATTGCAAAAGAAATTGGATACGCAGGCCCGTCTTACAAGCCTTCCAAGCACCCATCTTTCACACAGCAGTTGTATTTTACCAATAAAGCATGTTATGTTTATATAATAATATGCATATTATGAATTTTAACGAAAAAACACAAAAGCATCTGTAGTTAATGCATGCACACACTCACGCACGCACACCCATAATGCATGCGCCCACCCATTGACTTACACACACATACATACAAACCCACATACACACACACCCACAAACATACATACATACATACATACATACATACATACATACATACATACATACATACATACATACATACATACATACATACATACATACATACATACATACATACATACATACATACATACATACACATACCGCACACATACACATATATGCAAACATTCCTACATACATACAGACAGACACACATATGCACACAGAGACACACATATGCACACAGAGACACACACGCAGACTGACATTCACATGCACATACACAGACACATACTACACACACAGACACACCCACACACACACAGATACACACAGACACACATACTCACATGCTGAGAGGGAAGGAAGAGCCCTGCAGCACAGTCCCTTTGCAATTGAGATAATGTTGTCACACTGTGCTCACTCCAGTATATGCAAGCTTTTTCATGATTCAGATACGCTGAACATTGGTGCACTGGATTTAATTAGTATTCATTGATTCCAGAAGATGCAGTTTCTTCTTTCTCTTCTTCTTAGCAATCACTGGCTGTAAACTTTAGCAGAAAATTCTGGTTGTTTGTCCGCTTCTGGACATTGTTCTTGTTAGAGAACTTGAGGTTTATATGCACACTCATTTGACTTATCTGGCTTGTTTAAATGCAGACTGCCTTTCTCTTGCCTCTCAGGCAGATGCACTCTGATTTCAAAAGAAACTCCCCTTATTAAGTCTTTTTTCTTTATTCTTACATGCTTGTTACGGGGCAGGAGGTATGTTCTGAGTTCCCCTAAAATGTGGAATAATAGATTCAAAAAGATTCAAAACCAAGCCACCAGCCAAAACAAGCAGCCAGCCAACCAACCACTCGGTTTTTTTTTTCTCCCTTTGAACAATGTTTTTATGTATCGAATATATGTCTCAGAATATCAAACAGAATGTTTGATTGCAGTCATTGGTTTGCATCTTCTCTTGAAAGATTTCAAAGAGCCCATTATTGTGCCAGCCAGTATTGAACAGGGCATTGGCAACATCGAACACAACATACCCACACTGCCAGGTTGGCTGAAGGGAGCTGCGAAACTGCTAAGTGGCGCATCAGATAATCAAGACTGGCTTTCACTGGCTCGACTTATGGGTGAGTGGCCACCTTGTTCTTCACTGAGTGGGACTTTTATTTTTTTTTTTTTACGGAAAACATTATTTTTGGGTTGGGGCATATTGAGAGAATGTCAGATGACAGAGAAGTGAAAAACTGTATACACAAGGGAGATGAATGATCGTGGACCACGAGGCAGACCAAGAAGACGATAGAGAAATAATGTCCAGACAGTCTTGAAAACACTTGGTGTCACAAACTAGAAAGAGAAGGCCAACCAGAGAGATGAATGGAGGCGGGTGATATCTGCAGCAATGAACCTCAAGGGCTCGGAATGCTGAAGAAGAAGAAGAAGCATTCTTTTTATTTTTTTTTTTCTGTACCATCACTAGAACTGAAATTCATAAATAGAAGGGTAAATAATGTCCATAAGAGGTGAAGAAAAGACACTGGTGTTGGACAGGACACACATTAAGAAAACCGGAGAACAATATAACTAGAATGTCTTTGCATTGAAACCCACAGGGGCATAGGAATAAAGGAAGGCCAAAAAACACACGGAGAAGGGAGCTGAAAAATGAAGCTAGAAAGATGAGGACATGGGGAGAGCTGCATGCAATAGCAAATGATAGAACGACCTGGCATGAGTTGGTTGAGGGCCTATGCTCCACTCTGGGCTAGACTGGCAGAAGAAAAAATAATACCCATGCCATCTTTGAAGAAATTTCTCATAAAGATAAAAGCAATAAGAATAATCAGCTATTATACAAAGGACATAACCAGTCCTCCATTTTAATGACATAATATTGGTAAGATAATCTAAATATTCAAAGTGTAATTCCTGTCTTAATCACAATCCAAAAAGATGTAAACAAAGTGATATATAAAAACAATAATGCAAATTACATTAATGTCTTAAATAATTGTGCAAAATATAAAATAACAACAAAAAAATATCCTCTGAGAACTTGATGAACATTTTATATCCCTGTTATAACTCTGAGGGTTGAATAGGATATTTTTGAGAAAATTACTACTGCTACTACTTATACTTCTTGTGTTATTCCAGTGCTAACTTATGGATGCGAGAGTTGGAAAGCAACAGTAGCTCTGGATTTTAAAAAAATTTGACAATTTTGAAAACAAATGTCTTAGAAGAATACTAAATATCCACTGGACATTTTCCAGATCCAATATGCAAATAAGACAAAAGACCAAGCAAGATAATATATCCAGTTTTATAAGAAAGTGCTGCTGAAACTACATCAGCCATGCACTCAGAATGAATAAGGCAAGATCCCCCATTGAGCCCTCATATAGACACCGGAAGGAAAGAGAAAATGGGGAAAACCAAGAGAGACCCTGTGTAAAACCATCATCAGGGAAGGCTCAACAATGGGCCCTATAAACATCCAAGATCTAAAATAACAGATGGCACCGAACCACCAGACATGGAGAGTTATGACTTCTGCCCTATGAGCCGTCCTAGGCTCAAGAGGAAAGACTAACTACCTAACTAACTACTAGTTGAGTTGAGTTGTGTCCAGAATTGACATCACAGCACTCAGGGCATTCCCATGTGCACTCCGTCCTCGTCTTCAGCAGCCAGCACAGAGTTCCAATACTGATGGTACCGGCCACAATCTGGTTTTATGTCCGTCTTGCCTAACCTCTGAGTGTAGTGAGTTGGCCAGACCCTCTGGTTACACCCAGGTGCCTCAATCTCTCCAGGCCATAATAATCTTGTTTCTCTACTGATTTCGTTGCTTGTTCCTAAAGGGCCTTGACCACATCTGCCTTGTCATGTATCAATTCACCACCCAATGGAGCAGATTCAGCCAATCTGTCTGCCTATTCATGAACTAACTACTAATATTCTATCTGTACCACAGGGAATTGATTGGTGTTATAGTCTTCAGTAATTCTTCCTTCCCTTTACTATTGTATGTGATCCCATTTCTGCTCTGCTACTGCTCCATATGTAAATTAATATGAAGTGTTAACTTTCTGGAGAAGAAAGTGTTCCACCTCACTGACACTCATTCTGGTTCACACTCTTTCAGTCTTTCTTTTATTCTCTCTCAGCCCTTGGTCTTTCATTCTCTCTCTCCTTCATCTCACATATTATCTCTTCATATTCTCTCTTCCTCTCCTTTTCTGTCTTTCTCTCTCTCATTGTCTCCTTTCTTCTCTCACCCATCCCTCTTTCTTTTGATTTCCCTGTCTCATAATCACTTACTATCTCATCTTCTGTCATACTGTCTCTCACTTCCTTACTATCTCATCTTCTGTCATACTGTCTCTCACTTCCTTACTATCTCATCTTCTGTCATACTGTCTCTCACTTCCTCTCTGTTTCTTTCATTTTCTCATTGTTTCCATTCATTTCTCCCTTCCCCTCTGTCTCTTTCATTCTCTTTTAAACTCTGTCGCTTCTGCTCTCTCTCACTGAACATTTACATTAGTTTTTCTTTTCTCTTCTCAGGCTACAAACAGAGTCGTATAGACTTGTTGAGTGAGGACTTGAACCCATGTCTTGCGCTGCTGACTGACTGGATTGTCTCGTCAGGGAACACCACCATGTCAGTAGATGTTCTGCTGCACTACCTGCAGCAGCTGGGATGTCATGATGTCATTGACGTCATCAACAGGGCCAAAGGTGTGTGTGTGTGTGTGCGTGCGTGTGAGAGCCCCTTCCCTGGTCCATCCATCCATTTGTCTGTCTGTATACTAACCATTACACAACTGTGGCAGCTAGTTGCATATTTACCTTTTTTTTTTTTTTTTGAGTTTATAGTCTTTAGTTGTTTATTTGTGTGTGGTTATTTTATAATCTGTAGTTGTAATTTTTGGTGTTATATGTAGTCTTTATTTGTTAATTTTTTGTTAGTTCTCAGTACTGATTTTCCTCATTTGGGTTCTGGGTCCCAGTTTTGGGTGAAAAATAGAATAGATCCAAACTTACATGTGTAAATGATAACTAGTTAAGGGTTTATTTAAATCAGTTTGTTGGGTTAAAAAGCGCAGATATTGCAGCCTGGCTGTAAACTTCAACACAATATGCCAACTGTCTTTTAACTCTCTCAGTCTCAAGCAGCTGTTACTGCATCCCCCTTCTAACCTGAGGAGTTAAGCTTAAAACAGTAAAACAGTGTTGTCTGAAGAAGTTCATTTGAGACATTTTGGGACAGAAGTAGTTAAACAAATAATTCAGATATAAGGAGTTGTGCCTGTGACAGAACACATCAAGAGATTACAGTAACTTTGGAATAACTAAGGAACACATGCTGCGTCAGTGGCTTAGGCGTTGCGAGTCTTGACTCGTAATTCCAGCGTACCGCGATCGAAACCCATTGCTGGCTGTGTGGATTTTTATCATGGTATGGGGCGTCTTAAATAGGTACTAGGATGAGGATGTAAAGATGGCCAGCATAATGCTGACCACATTACCCACCTAGTGCCGATGGTATGTAAAAATATTTGTGCTTTTCCCATATATCCGATACGGCTGAAGGCGTGAAAAGGGATCTTTATTAAGAAACACATGGCGAGCTGTTCGTCCCTGAAGTTAAAGGTGAACTCAGAAGAAGGAGAAGTGTTTATTTGTTATTGTAAGTTATTTCTTAGTCCTTGTCTGATGATTTCTTGTGATTTCAGTGCTATTATTTTTAATTTAAAGAAAAAATGATTTCTACCTTGCAGAATATGAGCTGGAAAAGCCGTCAGTGTTTATAAGCTACCAGTGGGATGTTCAGGATGAGGTTTCTGCTATACGAGATCGCCTGGAGAGGGCTGGATTCTCCTGCTGGATGGACATTGGTCAGATGGGTGGGGGAGACCAGCTGTCCAGCAAGATTGACCAGGGGTTGAGAGGTAGTAAGGTATGCAGTTTTTAAGTGGACATTAAATCATGGTTGACCCGTTCTGAGCTTCGACACATTCTCCTGCTTCTTCTTCTTTGTTTACTGGCTGTAAGCTCCGGCTAAAAGTCCTGGTTGTTTGTCCATTTGGATTTTGGCTTTCTGCCAGGGCCTGAGTTTTGCGTTTACATCTATTTTACTGGCTTATTTTTATGCAGTAGGTTGTTCCTTGCCGCTCTGGCAGATTCACTCCGACTTCAAAGGAAGCTCCCAATTAGTCAGTTCCTACGACATGCTTGTTGGGAAGTCAGTGGCTCTATTCTTGTTTTTCCCACAATGGGACCCCGGAACTCACAAGGGGAGACGCATCCTGTCTCAGGATCAGTGTCAGTCAGCACAGAATATCGCTGTTTTCATGGAACGCCTGCAAGTCTCTCTTTCTCTAGCTGATTCTCCAGCCCTGTGTGCTTTCATAGCCAATGCATCTCCAGTATCTTGTACCCATCTTCACAAAGGTCTGCCTCTGCCTAACTGTATCCTCCATCACTGCTCTCTCCAGGCTACTGTAAATTTCAACATGGCCAAAATACCTCAGCTTCTGGGCCTGATACTGTTTATGAGCCAATTCTCCTTCATGTTCTCAGGTCTAAATACAGTGATCTGTTACTTCTGTATGAGTAGGTTGAGGCAGCTATTAAAGAGAAGAGGGAGCACAAGTAATAACTCCAGAAGAATTTAAAGTTGTAATTAGTGAAAGGTCATTAACTCTTTGAGTCCCAGCAGGTTTAGCATCTCAGGCCCAAGGGGTAGTCAAGAGAGACGTACAATCGGCGCATCATGCGTTCATTGGGCCTCTAGGTAGGAATCTATGAACGTATGATGCGTTCTTTGGGACTCAAAGAGTTAATAGTCCATATAGGACGCTAAAATGTTCACTTTTCTCGTAACCTAATCCTCTTCACCACTGATTTTTCTTTCAATCATCATCATCATCATCATTCATCATCATTCTATTGTGCCAGTATGTGTCACAAAGGGTGCAGATTGTAAAGAGACTTTAGGGGTGCAGATTGTAAAGAGACTTTAGGGGTGCAGATTGTAAAGAGACTTTAGGGGTGCAGATTGTAAAGAGACTTTAGGGGTGCAGATTGTTAAGAGACTTTAGGGGTGCAGATTGTAAAGAGACTTTAGGGGTGCAGATTGTAAAGAGACTTTAGGGGTGCAGATTGTAAAGAGACTTTAGGGATGCAGATTGTAAAGAGACTTTAGGGGTGCAGATTGTAAAGAGACTTTAGGGGTGCAGATTGTAAAGAGACTTTAGGGGTGCAGATTGTAAAGAGACTTCAGGGATGCAGACTGTAAAGAGTTTTTGGGGTACAGATTGTAAAGAGACTTTAGGGTTGCAGATTGTAAAGAGTCTTTAAGGGTACAGACTGTAAAGAGACTTTAGTGGTGCAGACTGTAAAGAGTCTTTAGGGGGTGCAGATTGTAAAGAGATGTTAGGGGTGCCGATTGTAAAGAGATTTTAGGAATGCAGACTATAAAGAGACTTTAGGAGTGCAGATTGTAAAGAAACTTTAAGGGTGCAGATTGTAAAGAGACTTCAGGGATGGAGACTGTAAAGAGTTTTTAGGGGTGCAGATTGTAAAGAGACTTTAGGGATGCAGATTGTAAAGAGTCTTTAAGGGTGCAGACTGTAAAGAGAATTTAGGGGTGCTGATTGTAAAGAGACTTTAGGGGTGCAGATTGTAAAGAGACTTCAGGGATGCAGACTGTAAAGAGTCATTGGGGGGGGGGAGGTGCAGATTGTAAAGAGACTCTAGGGGTACAGATTGTAAAGAGTCTTTAGGGGGTGCAGACTGTAAAGAGACTTTAGGGGTGCAGACTGTAAAGAGTTTTAGGGGTGCAGATTGTAAAGAGTCTTTAGGGGTGCAGATGGTAAAGAGTCTTTAGGGGGTGCAGATTGTAAAGAGACTTTAGGGGTGCAGATTGTAAAGAGTCTTTAGGGGTGGGGTGCAGATTGTAAAGAGACTTTAGGGGTGCAGATTGTAAAGGGTCTTTAGGGGTGGGGGTGCAGATTGTAAAGAGTCTTTAGGGGGGTGCAGATTGTAAAGAGACTTTAGGGGGTGCAGATTGTAAAGAGTCTTTAGGGGGGGGGGGGGGTGCAGATTGTAAAGAGTCTTTAGGGGTGCAGATTGTAAAGAGTCTTTAGGGGGAGGGGGGGTGTAGATTGTAAAGAGTCTTTAGGGGTGCAGATTGTAAAGAGACTTTAGGGGTGCAGATTGTAAAGAGACTTTAGGGGTGCAGATTGTAAAGATACTTTAGGGGTGCAGATTGTAGAGTCTTTAGGGGTGCAGATTGTAAAGAGACTTTAGGGGTGCAGATTGTAAACAGTCTTTAGGGGGTGGGGTGCAGATTGTAAAGAGTCTTTAGGGGGGTGGGGTGCAGATTGTAAAGAGTCTTTAGGGGGGTGGGGTGCAGATTGTAAAGAGTCTTTAGGGGGGTGGGGTGCAGATTGTAAAGAGTCTTTAGGGGGGGGTGGGGTGCAGATTGTAAAGAGTCTTTAGGGGGTGGGGTGCATATTGTAAAGAGACTTTAGGGGTGCAGATTGTAAAGAGTCTTGGGGGGGGGGGGGTACAGATTGTAAAGAGACTTTAGGGGTGCAGATTGTAAAGAGTCTTTAGGGGGGGGGGGGGGGGGGTGCAGATTGTAAAGAGACTTTAGGGGTGCAGATTGTAAAGAGTCTTTAGGGGGTGCAGATTGTAAAGAGACTTTAGGGGTGTAGATTGTAAAGAGTCTCTAGGGGGGGGGGGGGGAGTGTGCTGATTGTAAAGAGACTTTAGGGGGGGGGGGTGCAGATTGTAAAGAGTCTTTAGGGGTGGGGGTGCAGATTGTAAAGAGACTTTAGGGGTGCAGATTGTAAAGAGACTTTAGGGTTGCAGATTGTAAAGAGTCTTTAGGGGTGCAGATTGTAAAGAGACTTTAGGGGTGCAGATTGTAAAGAGTCTTTAGGGGTTCCATAATAAATATTTATGATGCATAATATGGTATTTTCCCCTAGAATGGATTTATTGTATGTAAAACTGTTAGCACCTGACAGCTTTACAACATAATAATATTTACCTGTGCTGTGCAGGTGGTGATTGCCTGCATCACACCCAAGTACACAGCCTCCCACCTGTGCAACAGAGAGCTGTGGCTGGCAGACACTCTACAGAAACCAATCATTCCTGTGCTGATGGAGAACACAGGCTGGCCACCTCCAGGAGGAATGTCTGTCATTCTCTCACAGTTAGTCTTCATCAATATGAAAGGTAAAATCTAGTCTTCTAGTCTTCATCAACCTGAAAGGTAAAATCTAGTCTTCATCACTATGAGAGGTAATATCTAGTCTTCTAGTCTTCATCAACATGAAAGGTAAAATCTAGTCTTCTAGTCTTCTACACTATGAAAGTTAATATCTAGTCTTCTAGTCTTCATCAACCTGAAAGGTAATATCTAGTCTTCATCACTATGAGAGGTAATATCTAGTCTTCTAGTCTTCATCAACAGGAAAGGTAAAATCTAATCTTCTAGTCTTCATCAACATGAAAGGTAATATCTAATCTTCTAGTCTTCATCAACATGAAAAGTAATATCTAATCTTCTAGTCTTCATCAACATGAAAGGTAATATCTAGTCTTCTAGTCTTCATCAACATGAAAGGTAATATCTAGTCTTCTAGTCTTCATCACTATGAAAGGTAATATCTAGTCTTCTAGTCTTCATCAACATGAAAGGTAATATCTAGTCTTCTAGTCTTCATCATGAAAGGTAATATCTAGTCTTCTAGTCTTCATCAACATGAAAGGTAATATCTAGTCTTCTAGTCTTCATCAACATGAAAGGTAATATCTAGTCTTCTAGTTTTCATCAACATGAAAGGTACTATCTAGTCTTCTACACTATGAAAGGTAATATCTAGTCTTCTAGTCTTCATCATGAAAGGTAAAATCTAGTCTTCATCTAACATGAAAGCTAATATTTAGTCTTCTAGTCTTCATCAACATGAAAGGTAATGTAATATCTAATCTTCTAGTCTTCATCATGAAAGGTAAAATCTAGTCTTCTAGTCTTCATCAACATGAAAGGTAATATTTAGTCTTCTAGTCTTCATCAACATGAAAGGTAATTTCTAGTCTTCTAGTCTTCATCAACATGAAAGGTAATATCTAGTCTTCTAGTCTTCATCACTATGAAAGGTAATATATAGTCTTCTAGTCTTCATCAACGTGAAAGGTAATATCTAGTCTTCATGAACATGAAAGATAATATCTAGTCTTCTTGACTTTATCAACAGGAAAGGTAATATCTAGTCTTCTACACTATGAAAGGTAATATCTAGTCCATTAACATGAAAGATAATATCTAGTCTTCTTGACTTCATCAACAGGAAAGGTAATATCTAGTCTTCTTGTCTTCATCAACATGAAATGTAATATCTAGTCCTCTAGTCTTCATCACCATGAAAGGTAATATATAGTCTTCATCAACCTGAAAGGTAATAGTTAGTCTGCCTCAGCAGAAAAGTTAATGTCTAGTCAGCATCAAAGAGATCTCCGAACCGGCCCTTCTGTTTGCTTTGTATAAACTTGTTTTCAGTTTCTCTGATATTTATGTGGCCCATCTTCTGCATGGTTGACCTCTGGTCTGGTAGCACTGTATGTGTATGAGATTGCTCTCTGTGGTGCCCTGTCTGATGCCAGTGATGTTACATGGCCAAACCATTTGATTTGTAGTCTACCTGTAAAGTTCAGTATAGATTTTGCGCCGACTCTCCTCCTGATATCATCGTTCCTGAGTCGATCTTTCCTCATTACACCTAGCATAGTACATAGTAAACATTTAATTTCTGTCAATACTTAATACAAAGATTTATGAAGGCGGTAATCATGTTTGATGTTGACAGCATAGCATTCATAAGAATACTGTGTTGGTAGCAGTTGATATTCATCAATACGAGAGGGTGCCATCAGTGTGGAAGGTAATAATTAGTCTTTATCAGCATGCAAGGTAACAGGTAATCTCTATCAGCATGAAAGGTAACAGGTAATCTCTATCAGCATGAAAGGTAACAGGTAATCTCAATCTGCATGAAAGGTAACAGGTAATCTCAATCCACATGAAAGGTAACAGGTAATCTCAATCTGCATGAAAGGTAACAGGTAATCTCAATCAGCATGAAAGGTAACAGGTAATCTTAATCAGCATGAAAGGTAACAGGTAATCTCAATCAGCCTGAAAGGTAACAGGTAATCTCAATCAGCATGAAAGGTAACAGGTAATCTCAATCAGCCTGAAAGGTAACAGGTAATCTCAATCAGCATGAAAGGTAACAGGTAATCTCAATCAGCCTGAAAGGTAACAGGTAATCTCAATCAGCCTGAAAGGTAACAGGTAATCTCAATCAGCATGAAAGGTAACAGGTAATCCTAATCAGCATGAAAGGTAACAGGTAATCTCAATCAGCATGAAAGGTAACAGGTAATCTTAATCAGCATGAAAGGTAACAGGTAATCTCAATCAGCCTGAAAGGTAACAGGTAATCTCAATCAGCATGAAAGGTAACAGGTAATCTCAATCAGCGTGAAAGGTAACCTGTAATCTCAATCAGCCTGAAAGGTAATGTAATAGGTAATCTCAATCAGCATGAAAGGTAACAGGTAATCTCAATCAACGTGAAAGGTAACAGGTAATCTCAATCAGCCTGAAAGGTAATGTAATAGGTAATCTCAATCAGCATGAAAGGTAACAGGTAATCTCAATCAGCGTGAAAGGTAACAGGTAATCTCAGTCAGCATGAAAGGTAATAGTCTTTATTAATTTGAAAGGTAAGTTTTATTCTGAAATGTGTGTGTGTGTGTGTGTGTGCGTGCGTGTGTGTGGCACACAAATGAGACCTTTTCAATAAAATATGCAAATCACAGTTCATTGCAACACTGTCCATCTTATTATAGAAGTCTTAGACTAACCATAAATTCCTGTTTTGTTTGCATAACACACACAACTGCCCGTGCATATTGCAGTCACAGCATATTTCAGTGCACTTTGGTATTCCTGAAACTGTTTTGAAGCTATCTTGTATAAGATGCTAATTAATGTTTAAACTGCCAATCACTGCCTTTATTGTACTACTTTTGCGGTGTAGGCAGGGGGGTCTTTGAGCGTGAGGATTTATGACCGCATGGCTAGTGCTGTTGCCACGACTGGGCAGGTGAGGATTTTATTTTGTACCCGACAGAAAAAAAATCCACAGCTCTTTCGGAGGATTCGAACCTAGATCTCCCACTTGGAAGCTTAGCGTCCTTACTGTTCGGCCAGCGACTCCTCTGCTAATTAATGTTACTGCGTGTACTAGATGCCAAAAGATAAATCAGTTAGACATGTCATTATCAGGCTTGATGGTTTTGTTTTTGTCTGAGTCATTTTCTGGGTCATCTCTGACAGGTGTCGGAGGACACGGTGGATCAGGCATCCATGCAGACCTGCATGATAAGTACACAGAGATTATCCAGCGAGTCTCACTGTACGCCACACCTGACCTCACTCCCTGTGTGGATACAACAACCATCACTCCTGTGGAATCCAAGCAGACTGGCCTCTACCCACTTGTAGACAGGCTGTCTGGCTACAGAACAAGTGTGAGCTCTCTTAGGGAGGTGGATTTTCAGAGGCGTCCAACTCAACACGACTCCTCACTTGATGTGGTGTTCTCCCGTCTTGGAGATGCCTCCCGAAATGCTGCTGAAAGCCTTGGTCAGAACACAGCTAATAGTGGTAGGACTTGGCCACCACAACAGCGAAGCAGCAGAAATTCTGTGCCTATGGCTCATGTTAGACAGTGCTCTGTATGCAGCATTTTATAGCTGGTATTTGAGGCTCTGAAAGCGAGGCTGTGTTCAATGTTTAATCTCTCTCTCTTCCCCCCCCCCCCTCTCTCTCTCTCACTCTTTCTCTCTCTCTTTCTCTCTCTCTCTCTCTCTCTGTCTGTATGTGTGAAATAGCATCTCAGAGCAGGGTACCCAATTACCCTGGCAATCTAAAAGTCTTCTGACGGTCGAGGTGATCAGCCATGTAGGTGTGAAAACAAAGGGGGACTATCACATTATATATCCCAAGAAACTAAACGGAAGCCTAGAGAAAAAATGGTGATGATAGGTACAGTTTTCGGAAAAAAAGGTAGAGGTAAACCTCCGCAAAATTGGATACAAGACATTGAGGATGCATGGCTAGGAAAGCACATAGGGCTAGAAATTAGGTAGAGAAAGGGAGACTTTCAAGGTTGTCTTGATGAGAGCAGCATTCTGTAAAGGATTTGCTGATTAGTGATTACTATGTATGTGTGTTATTGGAGACTGTACCTTGGGAAGAAAGTGTGGAGACCATACTTTGGGTAGGAAAGTGTGGACACTGTACCTTGGGAAGAAAGTGTGGAGACTGTACCTTGGGTAGGAAAGTGTGGAGACTGTACCTTGGGAAGAAAGTGTGGAGACTGTACCTTGGGTAGGAAAGTGTGGAGACTGTACCTTGAGAAGAAAGTGTGGACACTGTACCTTGGGAAGAAAGTGTGGAGACTGTACCTTGGGTAGGAAAGTGTGGAGACTGTACCTTGGGTAGGAAAGTGTGGAGACTGTACCTTGAGAAGAAAGTGTGGAGACTGTACCTTGGGAAGAAAGTTTGGAGACTGTATCTTGGGAAGAAAGTGTAGAGACTGTACCTTGGGTAGGAAAGTGTGGAAACTTTGCCTTGGGTAGGAAAGTGCCTGAGGTAGGAAAGCTGAAGAGAGACTGAGTTTCTTTCCGGTGGGCTGTGAGAGGAGTGACATTTTGTAAAGAACCTGCTACATGATGGTGATGACTGGAGATTCTAGATGCAAAGCAGTGTTCAACATTTAATATATCTACTTCTGTATGTTTAGAGGAGAGAGAGAAAGAGAAATGTATGATTGGATGTTTGTGTATACCAATCAGTGTGATGTGTGTTATTCTCTATCTTTGTGTCATCCTTCCTGTGTGATTTACTATCATTCCTGTGTGATTTACTTTCTTTCATGTGTGATTTACTATTCTTCATGTATTATTTACTATCTTTCCTGTGTGATTTACTATCCTTCATGTGTGATTTACTATTTTTCATGTATTATTTACTCTCTTTCCTGTATGATTTACTGTCCTTCATGTGTGATTTACTATTCTTCATGTATGACATACTTTCCTTCCTGTGTGATTTACTATCTTTCTTGAGTGAGTTGCAATCCTCCGTGTGTGATTCAGCATCTATTTGTGCTGATCAACATAGTATGTCTGATTGCACTTCTTATATTTAGTGTGAGCATGTTAAAGAAATCTGACAGCTTGAATGTTCTATGAACAGCTGCTGTAAACTTCTGACATTGCAAAGGCTAAGCAGGAGATAGAGACTTAGAAAAAAGTCAATAGCTACCAGAGAAAACAAAAGGTAACTCCCATAGAAACTGTGCCCTTTAACTTGGTCTAGAGTTTAGATGAGTTTCAAAAATTGACATCACAGCCTGCCCTCGGGACATTCCCACAAGTGCTCTGTCCCTATCTTCAGCAGCCACTAAAGAGTTCTAACCCTCATGGTCCCAGTTGCAGTCTGATCTTAGCCACTGAGCCAGCAATCAAGCCACTTCCCGGGATACAAATCAGAGGAAACAAACACCAGAAATACCGACACAGTCGGCCAGCCTTATTGTACAACGGGACTCTCCTTGCAAAGAATAGTCCTCCATCTGTTCCTCTACCAGGTACGTGTTTCTTCTTCTTCTTCTTCTTCGCGTTCACCAGCTGTACACTCTGGTAGAAAGTTCTGGTTGCTCGTCCACTACTGAACTGCAGTCCTGCTCCAGAACCTGAGTGTTGCGTGTGCATCAGTTTTACAGACCTCATTCTTTTGAATACAGACTGTTGGTTCCTTGCCTCTCCGGCAGATGCACTCTGACTTCAAAGGAAGCTCCCCAATTAGTCGACTCTTACGACATGCTTTTGGGGAGGCAGTGGGTCTATTCTTGTTTTCCCCACAATGGGGCCCCGGAACCCACACGGGGTGGGGGGGGGGGGGGGGTACGTGTTTCAATAACAGTTAACCACAAAGGTAAAGTTATACTATATGTTTTATATTTTTTGGTCGCTCATAAATCCATTTTGAAAAGTCCAAAAACAATATGTGTCTGAGGCGCGTGAAGGGGTTAATTGGATTTGCATTAATTTCAGTGGGGAAAATTGTTTCTGCTCTCAAACATTTCAGTTTGTGAATGAAGTTGAAGAACAAATCAAGTTAGTGACCTGAAGTTTGACTATATTTAAAAACAAGAGACTTTCTCATAAGTATTGTTGGCATCTGTGGCTTAGATGTTGTGAACGCGCTTCATAAATCCGGAGTGTGCAGGGTCAATCCCCGATGCTAGCCATGCGTTGGTTTCGTCTGTGGTATCAATAAGCCGGCCGTCCAGAAAGTAATGGCTAACTACTGGACATTAATATGCCTAGAAAAACAGCCAAAAGATGCTGGGGTTGGTTCTGCATCGCCCTGTAAAGGATACGCAACTAACTGGGTTGTTTTTTTTTTTTAAACTTTCTCACTAACACTTTGCACAAAGAAATTTTTAGGGCATCACCATTCTGAGTAAAAGTAAAATATAGAATCCTTTTTGACGTCACTGGCACATCAGGCATACAAGGCAATTCATTATTTTGTTTATAATCCAATGTGCAGTTGGGGACTGTTGCGGTCAACATTATGGTCATACCCAGATGACAAGTGATAGATAAAAACGCTAACTCAGCACATGATGCTTGCTTGATGTGCCACTAGCATAAGAAAGGTCTTTTATTTTGTAACTTTACTAAAGGCAGAGTTAAAGTAACAGCTACTTGGGACTGAAAGAGTTGAGTTTGTTGATCGTTGCATTGTTTAGATAACTCAGGTCACCTGTCAGTTCACTTGTCTTTCTTGAATAATGACTACTGTTGAGTTATCACTTGGTTATGTCCTGTAGGTAACCAGTGCTGAGTCTTTCATTACAATGGCCTCATTTTGCTGCTGCCTCTGAAGATTTAACGGCTGTATGACTAGTACAGCTGCCACGTTGTGTGCCGGTTTGCCCCCCCCCCCCCCCCTTTCCCCCCCCACCCCAAATACCCATACCCCCCCCCTTTCCACCCCCCCCCCCCCCCTTTAACAAATGTCCATTACTTTATTAAAAACTTGAACCCAGGCCATTAAAAAGGTGCTTATTTCTAATCACTCGGCCAGCCAGTCATAACTAACTGCACTGCAGGTAAGGAAAAGGGATCTTTCACTCCCTATGTCAGTTCTAGGACACCATTTTGGGGTGATGAATAGTCCCCCCCCCCCTCCCCCCCCCCCCCCCCCCACCCCCCCACCTTCTCCCCAAAGCATGTTGTAAAGGGGGACTACTTAGAGTTTTGCTGAAATTGGTTGTTGGGCAAATAGGACAGATATAATAGCCTAGCTGTAAACCACAAAACAGCAAGCCAATCAGCCATAAAGAATTAATGCAGAGTTTTTCTATACTAAAAAAAGAATTGAAGCTTTTTTTTTTCAACTGAAATTAAGCAAACTGGTGGACAGTTTTTGGTTTTTTTTTTTTAAACTGAAATTCAGTTTACAGATAAGAATGAATGCTCTCATGAAATTTTTCACGCAAAAAAAAAGTATTTTTTATAGTGAAATTGTTTTTGTATAAGAAGTGAAATGTTAATTTGGTGATGAATTATGTTTTATTATCAATGTTAATAATTAAAACTGTTGAAAGTTTTACTGTCATTCTATTCATTATTCTACAGTATTTTCAGTTGTAACATACAAAGTTTGCTTCTCTTTGAAGTTGTTATTATTACTTGTCACATATAATTTTGCAGTGATACTTTAAAAAAAATATATTTTATACGTTTGTGGTGTTGTGTATTTTTTGCTTGGTTGTAACATAAAAATTATGCTTTGTTGTTGTTTTTTTCTTTAATATTTTTATGTTTGAGTTATTGTTTGTAACATACATTGGCTTTTTTTTTTTAAACTTCTACTGTTAGTTGTTATATATAAGTTTGCTGTTTTTTTTTTAAATTGTTCAATATGTTTATGTTTGGTTGTGTGTACCATAACAAGTTTGCTGTGTTTTTTTTAAATTACTTTATAAGTTTGTGTCAATTGTTGCTTGTAACATACAAGTTTGCAGATTTTGGTTCAAAATCGTTATATTTCTAGTGTAAATTGTAAGATACTCATTTGCTGTGGTTAGTTTAACATATTATGTTTCTGTTGTTACTTTTGACATAAATGTTTGCTGTGTTCTGTTTAACAATGTTATGGTTCTGTTGATGGTTATGTTGTTATGTTATGTTATCACAGTCGACTTCACTGCATATTGAGCATTCCCATGCATGCTGAATCTGCGATGCGGCCGCCACTGAAAGTACCTCTACTGATTGTTATTATGAGAAGGTGGTTATAGTATCTTCTGTCTTGACCTTGAAGACAGCACACACATGCTTTACGAAGCTTTACTCCAAGGTCATGCTATCGTGTTAGCGTCGCCAGTTCATCATTATCCCCCAACCTAGTCCGTTCAGCATTGATGATATCAGCTCTGCCCATGCTTGCTTCCCATGGGTGCAGGAGCATTACCTGCCTGCTGGTCAGCATCTTCCTGACCTTTGACTCCTGCTTCCTGACCTTTGACTCCTGCTTCTTGATCTTTGACTCCTGCTTCCTGACCTTCGACTCCTGCTTCCTGACCTTTGACTCCTGCTTCCTGACCTTTGACTCCTGCTTCTTGACCTTCGACTCCAGCTTCCTGACCTTTGACTCCTGCTTCCTGACCTTTGACTCCTGCTTCTTGATCTTTGACTCCTGCTTCCTGACCTTTGACTCCTGCTTCTTGACCTTCGACTCCAGCTTCCTGACCTTTGACTCCTGCTTCCTGACCTTTGACTCCTGCTTCTTGATCTTTGACTCCTGCTTCCTGACCTTTGACTCCTGCTTCCTGACCTTTGACTCCTGCTTCTTGACCTTCGACTCCAGCTTCCTGACCTTTGACTCCTGCTTCCTGACCTTTGACTCCTGCTTTCTGACCTTTGACTCCTGCTTCCTGACCTTTGACTCCTGCATCCTGACCTTTGACTCCTGCTTCCTGACCTTTGACTCCTGCATGCCCAGGTGTGTAGATCCAGATGATGGAGGTTAACTGCGACTTCCGAGTGCTTTCTACCCATTTAGACTGTAAACCGTCTGTTGTTATTGTTGTGAAGCATCTTCATGGAACCCTAAACAATCACCTGTTGCTGGTTATGACAGAGTTTGCTGTGGTTTTTTTGTGTGTTTAAAACATGTTTAGGTTTCTAGTGATTATAAAATATAAATTTGCTGTGTTATTGTTTGATATTTGTTTTTTTTCCATTTTTCTTTGTGAACATACATCTGTGCCATGTTGTAACACAGATGTATGTGTGATACTGTTTGGTGTACATAACTTCTACAAAAGTTATCATTTCATGGTTATTATCTTTATTAAAGATATTTGAACTGCATGTCTTCTTCTTTGGTGATCAATGTTTGCTTTGTGTCTGTCCCAGTGGGTCTGACAAACAGGGCAGTGCGCTTAGAGTCTCCACTGGTTAGTGTTATTTTGACGATAAATAAATGGGCTGTTAGAAAATATTTATCTTCAGAATGATAATTTATTCAATAACACATGTTGAAAATTAATTGAACAATTGTTGAATTTGTGTATAAATCTACTCGATAACAAGTGTTACCTTCGATCGGCCACACCAGCCTCACAAAAACGGTAAATCCCGTTTGAGCTGTTTGGCCTTACATGTGGAGCTGACCATGATTTATTCTAGGTGTTGGATTCTTCTCCTACTTCTTATCTGTAACTCTGGCAGTTTGTCCGCTTCTGTGGACTGTTTGGTCTTGCACCAGAACTTGAGTTTTGCATGCACATCTAACTTATTTGTGTGCAGACTGTTGGCCCCTTCTTTGACTTTGAAAGAAACATCCCTAATTAGTCATCTTTTATGGCATGCTTGAAAGAGGGCAGTGGGTCTACTCTTTTGTCCCCCAAAAAATCACATCTGGGTCACAATTCAACATCACAGCATTCAGGACAAGCCCATATTAGCTCCGTCTCCCACCTACAGCCAGCAAAGAGTACCAGTGTCAAATGGTATCCATCGTCATCTGGTTTTCATCTGGTGTGGATCCCATCTTCCCGAGCCTTCTCTGCAAATCTGATATGATGATATTATGTGTGGCTGAGATTCTCTCCACCTATCGGAATGCTGCAGTGACCACCTCAACCTCCATTCCCATGCTAGCTGGGGTAATATCTGTCAAGCTGTCGTTCGCTCTTCTCCAACTGTGTTTTTTGACAGGGTTAGTATTCCTGACTATATTCAGTGACTGACATAACAGGGCACTGACTAAGTGGGTATAACATCCCTCGTTGTATGCCCGCAGCAGCTGTAACTTTCAGTGCATTAAGGCATTTCCTTGCTCTTAAGATGACGGTTTCGATATCAACCTTGAAAGACTTGTCTCTGTCGAGTGTAACTGCTAGATACTTTAGCATGTCCCTGTCTGGCCACTTCTTCATGTAAGGTGCTTCAGGGGCCTCCAGAACCAACACAATGGTTTGTTGACCATTCCTCTGTTGTTTCTTGTTGCCAGGACTAGCAATAGCATTGGTTCTCTGTATTTTAAAATGCTTATTGATTGCTTGTGAGAATATCATCATTGCTGTCTCTTCCTCTCTGTCTGTCTGTCCCTCCCTCCATATATCTGTCTGTTTATTCATATGAATGTCTGTCTGTCTTTATATCTATATGTCTGACTGCCTGCCTGTCTATATATATATATATATATATATATATATATATATATATATATATATATATATATATATATATATATATATATATATATATATATATATATATATATATCTGGTAATCCTAGTTTCAGCTTCATAGCAAACGGGTCACCCCATAGTTGCTCCGCTCCTGTGCCAACGAAAAACACACGTAGCTTACAGTGTCACACCATGCACTCAACTCAGAAGCTGGGCGACGAAACTATATGCTTCCAGTCAACAAATGGAGCAAAAATGCGACGGCCACCGCCTGGCAGAAGTAAAAAAAAAAAAAAATTTGCCACGGCTAAAAAAAAAAAGTGGCCGTACCTAGAGTCCATTTTGACCTGAAGCATTATGTGAGGCTTGATAAATGGTCGCCCCAGCAGTACCCTCACTATTAGCTGGGGAAGGGACAGGACATTACATCCATCAGCAAGCGTCGCCCCAACAACAACCTGACTGACTTCGTTAACGACTGTTCACCCAACAGCCATGCAGTTCTTTGGCACGGAGACACCTTGAACTTGGGTTTCGGAAAGCCTTCTTCCTACAAAATGTTATTTTGTGGTTTGTTCTCACAATCGACGTCACTGCACATTGGGCACACCCATGCGTGCGCAGTCCTCCGAAGCAGCAGCCACTCCAAAGCACTTCTACTAATTGGCCCCATGAGAAGCTGGTTATATTTCTCCTTTCTCGACCTCGAAGATAGAAAAGACGTGCTTCACCTTGCTTAACTCTCATGTCACGCATCGTGTTAGTGTCAGGGATTCGTCATTATCCACTAGCACTAACACACACACACACACACACACATATATATATATATGTCTGTCCAACCTTCCTGTGTCTGTCTGTCTGTGTGTGTATATATATTTATCAACAGGGATTCAAACTTACAACCTGCAAGCAACTAGCTGAACACGCTAGCCAGATTACCACTATAAGTTTGGACTTGACAGTACTAGTTACATATTTCTATAGACCCACCCGGGACTTGATAGGCAGAGCCGGTATCATGTCAGAAATGTCCTTGTCGGTCATTTCAGGCTAAGTCCACCTGAGATTCGGGGTCAGTCTTCAAACACACACCCCGACACACTCGCATACACACACCCTCCCCCACACGCCTGCGCGTACGCATACAGTAGTAACTCACAGTAGATGCGTCGACACAGAGAAAATATGCCCCCCCCCCCCTACATTTCCACCCCCACCCCCTGACATTCATATTTGCTTAGCGAAAGGGGTGCGTTAAATTGGACATTCTAGTTTAGGAACATAATACTACTGCGCTGAATAATAAATAAATGTGATAATACATTTGACCTAATATGAAAGGTGACAACACATGTTTTTAAAGAGGATTTCTAATCACAGTTGAAGCGTGCTGCTTAGTCTCCTAACAGAACTTCCGAGGGTGGCCCTCAGCTCGTCACCCCCGCCCCCCCCCCCCCCCCCTTCTTTAGTTAAGAAGACAGTGGTGATCAAATGGCAAAATAATGTGCAGAAATAAGAATTTAACCAGAAACGAAACTTTCTGTACATGCTAAAGTTAGTTAGTCACGTGCGCTGGCACACGTGTGTGAAATGTCCCAGACGTCCGGTAGTTGCCTGCAGCAAAACATCAACAGTCGACATCCAATGGAATCTTTCAATTGTTTCAGGTAATAGCTACATCCGCTTCAAATAGAAATCTACTTTGTTAATTTGAGTTGCTGCAGATTCTAAGTTATAGCCTTGAGCCCTCTTGTTTGTGTGCTTGTTTTAATGCAGTCGTCCATCTTTGGGTGTTTTTCAGTGAATGGCCGCTGATTGTGTTTGTGTTGAATTCTCTACATTTCTGCACTACCGCACTAGATCTCAGTCTTTGGTGTTCTGGGTCACTTCTTCTTCTTCTTCTTCTTCTTCTTCTTCTTCTTCTTCTTCTTCTTCTTCTTCTTCTTCTTCTCCACCTCCTCCTTCTTTCTTCTTCTTCTTCTTCTTCTTCTTCTTCTTCTTCTTCTTCTTCTTCTTCTTCTTCTTCTTCTTCTTCTTCTTTTTCTTCCTCCCAACCTCCTCCTCCTTCTTCTTCTTCTTCTTCTTCTTCTTCTTCTTCTTCTTCTTCTTCTTCTTCTTCTTCTTCTTCTTCTTCTTCTTCTTCTTCTTCTTCTTCTTCTTCTTCTCCACCTCCTTCTTCTTCTTCTTCTTCTCCACCTCCTTCTTCTTCTTCTTCTTCTTCTTCTTCTTCTTCTTCTTCTTCTTCTTCTTCTTCTTCTTCTCCACCTCCTTCTTCTTCTTCTTCTTTTTCTTCTTCTCCACCTCTTTCTTCTTCTTCTTCTTCTTCTTCTTCTTCTTCTTCTTCTTCTTCTTCTTCTTCTTCTTCTTCTTCTTCTTCTTCTTCTTCTTCTTCTCCACCTTCTTCTTCTTCTTCTTCTTCTTCTCCACCTCCTTCTTCTTCTTCTTCTTCTTCTTCTTCTTCTTCTTCTCCACCTCCTCCTTCTTCTTCTTCTTCTCCACCTCCTTCTTCTTCTTCTTCTCCACCTCCTTCTTCTTCTTCTTCTCCACCTCCTTCTTCTTCTTCTTTTCCACCTCCTTCTTCTTCTTCTTCTTCTCCACCTCCTTCTTCTTCTCCACCTCCTTCTTCTTCTCCACCTCCTTCTTCTTCTTCTTCTCCACCTCCTTCTTCTTCTTCTTCTCCACGTCCTTCTTCTTCTCCACCTCCTTCTTCTGCTTCTTCTCCACCTCCTTCTTCTTCTCCACCTCCTTCTTCTTCTCCACCTCCTTCTTCTTCTTCTTCTCCACCTCCTTCTTCTTCTTCTTCTCCACCTCCTTCTTCTTCTCCACCTCCTTCTTCTGCTTCTTCTCCACCTCCTTCTTCTTCTTCTTCTCCACCTCCTTCTTCTTCTTCTTCTTCTTCTCCACCTCCTTCTTCTTCTTCTTCTCCACCTCCTTCTTCTTCTTCTTCTTCTTCTTCTTCTTCTTCTCCACCTTCTTCTTCTTCTTCTTTTTCTTCTTCTCCACCTCCTTCTTCTTCTTCTTCTTCTTCTTCTTCTTCTTCTTCTTCTTCTTCTTCTTCTTCTTCTTCTTCTTCTCCATCTCCTCCTTCTTCTTCTTCTTCTTCTTCTTCTCCACCTCCTTCTTCTTCTTCTTCTTCTTCTTC